TCCAAAGCGAGGCTGTAGTCATGTTGGATCACCGCAGCTCTTTTTGTTGACGCTGCTTCACTTTTGAGATGCTCAACCGCATTTTTCTTGCTGAAAATGGTCGGAAAAACTCTGTTAGCTTTGGGTTAGCATGTAGCTAGTATCCCGCTTATCTCCAGCTCCCAGAGAAGGGAACATCAACAACGGCGGACATGCGGATCTTTCACCACGGTGGACCAATGAAACCCGATATCCTCGGTCAGCTTACCTAGTTATGATTTCGTTTCTAAGCAGACTGGAGGTGCCTTTACTTTGGAGTCGCACTACCATGTTTTTCTTGCTGAAAACGGCCTTTAGCTTTGGGTTAGCAGGTAGCTAGTGTCCAGCTGAGGGACTGAGCTGTAAGGCCACTGTGCTTGGTTACGATCGCAGCGGTCTGAGGTTCCTCTTGTAATTTAACAGTCCCAGTCCACATCTCCACAGGCAATCAGCATGACTACAGCCTCACACGGGAGCCAGTTTGCCATGTGAGTGGGATACCTCAGTCCAAGGAGCCATTCTTAGCTTCTTGGGCTAGACAAGTTAGCTAGTAGCTACACTGGTTCATTTGTTCCAACCCTGTTCCAAATATATCAGCCCCACCCTTAGCTCCACCTCTTTTCCCATTTTTGTATTGTCTGGGCGTGACGGGACCTGTGACACGGTCAAAATGGCGGTGGTGGGAAGCTCCCATTTGGGCACAAAAATGTATCATTTGAGCCTATGGACATGAAATGTCCAGTGTAAATGTCGATGTTAAGAATCAGAATCGGACATTACCTGACAAAGAGCTTTGTCAACTGTGAACAGACCTGTCTGTATTGTAAGTTTCTCCTCTCTAATGTATAATAATATTCACCCTCTGTGAGCTCTGCTCATCTCCTCTTCTCAGCCTGGAGTCTCCCGACAGGGAGCGGTTTTCAAACTCTGTAAACTCCAAAAATTTCTATAGAAACCCCCAAAAGTGTTGCTCATATTGAAGTTACACTCTTCCACTATTGTTGTAATGTGCAGTGAAACGTCCTGCTGTAATCAGTGCATGTTTTCATAATATTTAATGCTTTTATTCCCATCATTTGGCAACTGATGGGTATTCCGCCTAGTTGTCATTTCCTAGTTGGAGCTGGAAATCCTGATTTGTTCCATCCATTCTAATTTTAGTTTATAACATTTTTTTTATATCCTCCAGCTTATAGAACAATGTGTCACCGTGCAGACATTTATTTTTGTGCTGTGCATCGCCCTTTTCAACAGTTTTCTAAGCAAGTGAAAGATCATGAAGTACTGAGAGGAAAAAAGTTATGGAGTGAGTATGAATAATAATAACAATAATAATAATAATAATAATAATAATGTGAAAAGCAAAAGAAAGGAGTGATGGGATGAAGACTGCAAAAGGTCAAAAATAGGGCAACATGTGCATCAAATTAACAGGAAGAGAGTTCTAGCTACATGCTAAAAGACATCATAGCTAATGGCTTTTCTTATCTGACGTTGCTGTGTGTGTTTATGTGTGAGTGTGTGTATATGTGTGTGAGTGTGTGTATACGAGGACTGTGTCTCCAGGAGACAGGAAAAGAAAAGGAGGAATTAAAAAAAATTGTTCTGAAGCTTTCTTGGGAAGCAGGTGTGTGTGAGTGACAAGAACTTCCTCACCTCACCATATCTGAGGTGTTTTAGCCAGATGGTATCTGTGAGGCTGGAGAGAAACTGGCTTACTGATAAGAAGCATCCTGAGATCAGAGACGGGTGCAGAGGATGAACGCACCTGGTACTGCTTCGTCCTGCGCACGCACGCGCACGCACACACACACACACACACACACACACACACACACACACACACACACACACACACACACACACACAAAGGTTTTACTTCTAACTATGTGAAGACCTCTTATATTTATATAATATACTCCTTAAGCCCGTATCTCACTAACCTTCATGAGGGAATTTCCAAAGCATTAAAACCAGAGGTAAAGGGTAAATAACCTGTATTTATTTAGCACCTATAAGAATCGTATGACCCCCCAAGGCACTTTACAACACAGTGCGCCCACCTCTGCCCTGGGGCACACTGACAGAAGCGAGGCTGCCATACACTGGGGGGACACCAACACTGGGGGGACACCAACCTCTGACCACCACCAGCAGTCAAGGCGGGTTAGGTGTCTTGCTCAAAGACTCAACAACTGCAGCAGACCGAGCGGGGCTCGAACCTGCAACCGAATTACAAGGTGGGCACTTAACTCCTCAGCTCCGTCGCCCCATAAAAGCTGCATCAACTTCTAACACTAATTCTTCCTCACCTTCAACCGGCTGATGAGGATTTTTATTACGATTAACTCAACAGGCTATTTGTTCAAAAAAATGTTCTCACATTCACCCTGGATGTCTGAAACCCGTCTCGAACCCTTCTCAAAGTTTCCTTGACTCAAAAAGAGAGAGAAACTTTGGTGGGCCTGCAAACCACGCTGCAAAGTGAATAAAACTGCATTTAGACTTTTTTTTGACTAAACTGCAACAAGAAAATGAGTTGTAAATGTTTTTTTAATTAAATCACAAGACTCACTCTTAAATAAAACTTGATAATGCAACCCACGCTCCAATTCAATGTGTTTACAACAGAGAATTGGCACATTTTCCCACTTTTTTTTTTGTCTCCAACGGATCCCAACCCAGTGAGATTCTTGCTGTAGCTTCTAAAACAAACCTCTGCCACCTCTAAACATGACTAAATATACTTTTGAGGGTATTCACTACATCTAAAACTCTCTTAGCAATTTATAAATTCTCATTTTTCCTCATTAGTTAATCATCATCATGAAAAGGTTGTAATTGGTTATTCAGTGGAGGGACATTTTGTAACAAGGTTATAAAAGCTCATGCTGAGAGAGCCGTCTTGTGTGTGTTTGAGTTTAGTTCGGCTCATTAAAGTTTTATAGATTCATCCTGACACTGGTTTTTGTGATTGTCACCTTTACACTTTCTGTTCACATCATCTGACAGCTTCATAAAGTACTTGGTTAGATTTATTGATGTGTTGTGTTTGTTATGGTCGCTAGTGATCCCGGCAGGGTGATCTGTTTCTTTCATTGGGATATTTAAAGTAACAACAGATAGCCTGTTAAACTTTAAGCTAGAGCTTTAACATTGATCTCAGTGATTGTTGGGTTAGAAACTTGACCAGATTGATATTTGACACCACTCTGCAGCCCTCTGCTGACCAAAAACCACACTTGATAGTTTTGTGGAGTGGGTAGGTGTTCTAGGGGGTGCTCATCACCTGCTTTATGACTGTGAGCTGGAATGCTAGTGGTTAGCATTTTCAGTTCGCCAATCACCAAAAAAAATTACGCAGGAAGAAGATAAAGAAGTTTGCTTTATCTGTTAGCATCAAAGTAAGAGTAATGGAAGCAAAGCAAAGAGCTAAAACAAGGGTGAACTTCAGTGGGGCCTATGCTAGTTTGAGGGAGCTAAAGGAGGCTAGAAAATCCCAGACTGATGGTGACCTTGGCTTTGTTACTGGACTTGTAAGTAATGTTTTGTCCAACAGAGTGGATCTTTTAACTTTGTGGTTTATTGTAGTATTAGTTGGCTCATGTTAGTGTTAGCTTGTAGTCAGCGCTAGCTCCTGCAGGCTTTTTTACCACAGTTTGAACCAGTAGGGTGCAGGAGCAGGAAACTGCTCACCGTTACTTTAAGCAGTGAAGTTTACTGTCCTAAATTTTAGTAATAACCTTTTGGGGATCAATAAAAATACTTCATTCTCATCCTTCAATAGCTGCACGTATCAGCATCGTATAAAACATCTGATAAAGACCGAAACTACTAATTATGTCTAAAATAGAACTAGTTATTTACAGTTTCTCCTAAGTTTTGTGAGCAAATGGAATGTGCAGACTTTATTCTTCTGGTAATTTTATGGTTTCCATGGTTTATGTGTTTCTCCCACTCCCTGTATGTGTGTGTGCGTGTGTGTGTGTGTGTGTGCGTGCGTGCGTGCGTGCGTGTGTGCGTGCGTGTGTGTGTGTGTGTGTGTGTGTGTGTTTCCTGCTTTAAATAGCTGCTTTAGTTGGATCCACCTTCTAGCTCTGCTCAGGTTACTGTACATCTCACTGGACGCCAATGCCTTTCTGTTTTTCTCTTAGACTTTTTTTGCCCTCCTTCCTTTGTGCATATTCCTTTTTCCCTTTATTTGCATGTTTTCACCTTCTATTCCACCAGATTTCTCTTCTCCTCACTTTTTCTACGCCCTGTCCTTTTTCTCTCTGTCTGTTTTCATGAGCAGGGATGTTGTTTAATCTCCCTGTTGCTCCTTCTTCTGGGTTCCCTAATCTCTTTCTGTGTTATTCATCCAACCTGGGCTCCCGGGTGTGTTTGTGATGATACTTTAGAGCCTCAGGTGGACAATAATTTACTTTCTGGAGTCTGAGGAAGTCATTATCCAGCTGGAATCTACGTGGATGAATTGTGCATCAAAGGGATTCTGTTTACATCCTTTTTATAAAGTTGTTTGTTCTGGATTATGTGTTTTTAAGTAAAGTTTGGTTTATACTTAAGTGATATTGTTTATTACGTGTTTATATACTAACGGGGCTGACTGGATGGTTCTTGGGCTGCAGTAAAACGTCTGTTTGTGACTCCCTTATGTATAATTCACATCTGGTCACAGTCTCTTCCAGACTTCTCTTGCTGGGGTTATTTTTCCCTTCATCTGCTTCAGAACTTCTTCTAACCTTATTTTGCAAAAATTTTTTTCTTCATATTATTTTTATGTGTGGGTTTTCTTTAGGGAGCTGAAATGAACCGTGACAACCTAGTGTTAGGCCAGGGGACGGAGCATGCTCAAATGTGACTGACTGATGATGTCAGTGTCCATTTTGATGATGTGGTAATGAGGTGGAACCAACACATAATTTAATAACCAGGCGTCCTCATTTCCTCTCATCTTTGTCCTCATTCTGTCTCTCTCTCAGTGTCTCTGCAGGACATCACCATGAGGAAGGCCTTCAGGAGTTCCACCATTCAGGACCAGCAGCTGTTTGACCGAAAGTCTCTCCCGGTTCCGCTGCAGGAGTCTCTGCAGACGTGCGAGCAGCCGCCACCCCTCAACATCCTCTCACCTTACAGGTCTAAATGATGTTACGTGGTTGTAGTTAGACTACAGTTAGAGCTGCAATCTGGCCTGTCAAGAAATTTATTATTTAATATCATAACCGATCACTGATGTCCAGTGTTAAATAGACAGTTATAAAAATGACAGAAGTCTGTTTAAATAGGAAATAGGGGTAGAAGGCTGTTTTCCAGAGGATGAGCCAGACATTCCATTCACCCGGGGCTTAGCCCTGATGCTGGGGGGACAGAAATAATGTGCTGTGCTATTCAAGATTTATTCAACAACAATATTAATGCAATAAGAATGAAAAGGCAAACTATCATGAATGTAAACAAAACAAATCAAAAGCCAGGGGTTTTCATGTTCAGCCCGCAGCGTGACTGATCATACTTTAAAAATATTAAGTAAAAAATGGTTTCTCGATTAACTTGGTCTTTATTTAAAAAGCTGTCAAAAATACTTGTAACTGTAAAAAGGAAAATCCATTTTATTAAGAAAAGAATGATGTTACTAAGGAGAGAAAATTTAGAAAAGTTGCTAATTTAGCACTTCATTGATAATTAACAGATGTGTTGTTTTTGTGACTTAAAAAAATGTTTCTTTTAAAGAAATTCCAGTTTTTTATGGTCTAATGTTTTAGTCCAAGTTGATGCTTTCTGAGGATAATTACATATTTTAAAGGTGTGGAACACTAAAATAAAAGTTTTTAAATGATTTTTTTCTGATTATAAGTTTTTCATGCAGGGTGAACATGAAAATAGCCTCCTACACCTATCTCCTGCATTAGCTTCTGATTGAAAATAGATGATGAAACTCTAAGATTAGAAAAACCTGACAGTGTGACATCAGACTGTCATTTAACATTCATGCACTCACCTATCTTGACTCATGACGGGGAAGGCAGTTGATGGTTTAGCGTCCTGGAAACAGCAGAGAACATCTCAGCTAGTAGAAGCTAGCCATTAGCATTAGCAACTCCAAAACACAGCAGAACTCCTTCAGGCTTGTTTTATTTGTGGAGATAAAACATCAACGTTGCAGAGCAAACTGAGTAAGTGGTAGAGTTGCGTTGCTGTTATCCAGTCAGGAAATAAGACTCCATATCCTCCTCTCAAACAGGCGCACTGCAACCCCCCGAAGTATGACTGTCAAGGTATTCGCTCCTACTAGAGATTGCAGATATGGTGATTACATGAGTATTCCGCACCTTTAACTCATTAACTGTCAGCCATTTCCTGATCAGAAAAGCCATTCGTTGCCAGCATTTTTCGGCATTTTCACAGTTTCTTTGAAGAGTCACAGAACGTTGCGCTCTATGATGATGTCAACGCCAAAATTACTAAAGCAAAGAGTAGACTCACTTCTCTCATCAGGAAGAATCCGCGCGTTTCCAGAGTTATCCGTTCTTTCATAATCCGTTGTTGAATTGTGATCGGCAGAAGCTTTTCCGGTTCGCGCCTCACTTTTTTTGCAGCAGCGGCCCAAAACGATCTCCTAACACATGGATTTTCTGCTTCCTGATCACGTAACATGTGACATATGTGGATGAAGATCAGCTTTAGAGCTTGGATGTTTGTTCTCTCTGTGCGGGGGCTCGTTCCGACGCCCACACTGTAAAAAAAAATGCCTTCTTTCCTTTTTTTTGCCCCAGAACCACAATGAATTTTAGCTCACACTCCCTCCTTATTCCTTCCTACTGATTTGGTCCTCTGCTCTGAATGGATGATCATCACCGGTGATGATTTCACTCTTTTGATTTATTATTCAAAACACCACTAGTACCGTAATTTCTGTACTATAGAGCGCACCTCAATATAAGCTGCACCAACAAAAAAAAAAAAGGTTTTCTACACACACACGCCGCACTCGAATACAAGCCGCGGCGCAGCAGCCACGTGCAGGTCTCCGGCGCATGTACGGCCATAACATAAGATAATTAGACTGAAAGACGCTACACGGAGGTTTTTCGTTGTTGTTTTAATTCAACAAAACGAATTTTAAACACAGGTGAACTGCCTGCAAGTTTAGAAAAGAAAACAGCACTGATGGCATTCGTATTTCTATATGTTGGTTTTCTAACCCACTTGCAGAATCAGAGCCGGAGACGAAGGTAAGAGACAAAATAATATTTATTAAATAATGATGAGAACGGAGAGTCACTCTCGAGGAAGCTCTGATGTAAAGGGCAGAATCTGACGGGAGAAAAAGATCAGGGAGATGAGGAGATGGTAATTGGGAGAGGAATTGGTGCAAATTGAAACAGTCTTACTTTCGAGTGGAGATTCGTAGATGCTGAGGAGGGAGTGGGTCAGGCCTGAGGTGGAGGGAAGCTGAGGCAGGTTCCAGACCTTGGAGATGAGGAATGAAGGCAATATATCCCAAAGCGTTGAGCGAGGCAGGTGAGGGGAGAGAGCGAGTGGGCGAGCCGACCGGCAGAGCAGACGAGACGAGGTGGGCTAAAATCCTTAGGTTATGGCTGGAGAGGTGATGAGAGTGAATATCTGCTGAGGAAAGTTAGCGATCACTAGAAGCACAAAAAGAGAGCTCGAGATTTGGTCGTGTACCCAAACGAGTTAATCATCCGACGCCGTGTAGGTCTCAGACTGCTCCTTATAAACCCAGCCGGTGATTGCAGCTGAGTGGCTGCAGCCGGGCAGCTCTCCGACACCGCCCACCTGCAGGAAAGAGGTTAGTCTGGGGAATAATGTACCTCAGGCCGTGACAAAAAACAGAACTGACACGTTATTACCGGTAATCTGCATGTTTAGAAGAAAAGAACAGCGCTGACACAGCATTAATAAGCCCCGGATGATTAGAAAATAAAAACTGCACACAAAACATGCCTGGTTAGTAAATACAACACACTTGCCTACCAGAAGAAGTCATTCGCTCTCATCTTCCTCCTGTGCACTAAAGCCATTAAAGTCCTCTTCTTCAGTGTCGGAGTTGAACAGCCTCAGAAGAGCTTCGTCACGTACCTTTTCTGTGGCGATGTCAGTGTCGCTGTCCGTGTTGCTGTCATCATCCCCGGGTGAAGCTGGCTTGAATGAGTTCTTCCCCGCTGCCATCTCCAGCGCCGAGCCATGGATTCATTCATGCCAAGCTTACGTGCGGCAGCACAGTTTCCCTCCTTTACTGCCAGATCGATGGCCTTCAACTTAAATGCGGCATCATATGAACTCATACGTGTAGTTACCATGATGAGGGGGTATGGATTTGAAAAAAATTCTTCGTCGTGCCGGCTGCTTGCATGTGCTAAATTAAAATGAGCACTTTCTTCCATTTTCACTTTTGACTTCCACCTGTTTCACTTTCTGCTAAAGCGCCCCCTAGTGGCAGGCGAAGGAAAATCTTCAGTAAAGCCGCACCTCATTATAAGCCGCATGGTTCAAAGCGTGGGAAAAAAGTAGCAGCTTATAATCCGGAAAATACGGTAGTTTTGATCTTTTGCTCTCCTTCCGCTGCTCATTCTCATTCATCCTCACTTCTTGACTTTTTGCTCTCCTCTCTTTTCACTTTTCCCATTCTCTCTCCACTCGTCACGCCGAGAAGCGCTTGAGGAATCCTCACCAGGCTTTTATTTTTCCCAGTTTCACCTGAGTGCAGCTTCTACTCCTCTGAAACACGCATGCACAAACAAGCTCCTTGAAATAAAAAACAATGCTGAGACACAATGCTTAACACAAACTCTCCACTTCTACCAGCAGTGCCCTCACATGCCCAGCACGCATTGTTAAATTCTATTTTCTTCCCTTTGTTGTGTTGCATATCATTAAACTTTCCACTCTCGCCTTTTGAAGCTGAACCGTTTCATCTTCTTTGTGCTTGCTCTCATTAATGTCATTGCCAAATAATTGCCTCCCAAGATGTGGCCAGTACTGCATTAAAAAAATAGCCGTTTCTACTTAGTTTGAATGGCCAAAATACCCCAGATGTAGTTTTTGTGTCAGCGGTGAGCAGATGTGTGCTTCACCACTCAAGAAATAGATAACTGGACTGAGTATTTGAATAAAAAACTTACATGTGTGCAAGTTAATAGAAAAAAATGATTAGATTTGTGTTTCCTGCTTTAGTAAAAGCCTGTAGTAAATCCAATATATAGACGTACAACTTTTAACACACTATTGTTTCTCTTCAAAATATTGCAGGAATCCCGGGACCGATTTTAATGAAACTCTCAGAAAATAATCATGAGGTACATCTACAAAGGATTTACTTTTGGAAGTTTCTCAAAACAAAACACAAGTTCTTTAGATGCACGGTAATGTAGCTTAAGATTTGCACACAGTGAGTCACAAATGTTTCATAAAGCCTGTAATAAAGTGTGGAACACTCAAAGCCCAATTTTTAATGATTATTAATGATTATAATCAGTCATTCTGAGTTTTTCATGCAGGCTGAACATGAAAATAGTCTCCTACACCTATCTTCTGCATTAGCTTCTGATAGGAAATAAACTCTACGATTTAAACAGCAGATGTACGTCACACAGTCACTGGACATTCATGGACTAACCCATCTTGGCTCAGGATGGAGAAGGCTGTTGTTGGTTTAGGGTCCAAGAAACGGCAAGGAACGTCCCGACTAGTAGATGCTAACTGTTAGCATTAGCAACTTCACCACACAGCAAAACTCCTCCAGCCTTGTGTTATTTGTGAAGATAAAACTTCTTCTTTCCTACGAGAGACCACTGCAAATGCATTTATTAAACAAGTTTCCCACACCTTAAATAGTTTTAACTGCTGATTTTCCTCTTGGTTAAATTATTTCTTGCCTAATTGAACTTTATTTGTAGATTAGAATTAAATTCCACAAGCCAAACAAACTTTCTGTTTTTTTCTTCATATTAACAATATTAATCTACAATTTTTAATGCATTTTGACTCAATCCAACAATCAGATGGGATTTAGAAACAAAAGGCGAAATAAATTACGGGAGGATTTTTTGTGTAGGGCTTATTGGAATGAAATTTCCAAATGTTTTTGATCACTTTCCTCATTAAAAAGGATAATTACATTGTGAAAACTCACTTCTTATTATCAGTGCTGTTTCTGCAATGTTAGAGGACGTTGCAAAAAAACTCTCCATGCACTTTTTGGTGGAAAAAATATGAATATGAAAAAGATAAGCCAACAAACTTTATTATTTTAATGACTTTTGCATCTTTCTGTTATCCAATAAAGTCCAGTCAAAGTATCTTGAATCTGTCTGCAGGGATGATGGTAAAGAAGGACTAAAGTTCTACACGGATCCGTCTTACTTCTTCGACTTGTGGAGGGAAAAGATGCTGCAGGACACGGAGGACAAGAGGAAGGAGAGACGGAAACAGAAGGTACATTACGGCGCCTTGTTCAGCAGCTGAAAACTTTCTAATGTTGGTGTTTTTTTAAGACACTGCAGTAAATTAGAAATGTTTATGTTGAGTCAAACTGAATGAAAAGACTTCCAGTGTTCTCCAGTTAATAGGCAAAGGGTGACTCACTATAAGATTCACAGCTTGGCTTGGTACCACATCGTCTTTTGCATTAATTAGTCACCGCTCATAGATAAATCAGCTCTTCCCTCAGCCAGCCCTGGTAGTTATTACTTGTGTGATCATTACATCTAATTGATGGGAGCATCTGCTTGTCACATGCCCCCGTGTTGTGCGTCACCTCTGTTTCCTGCACACTCGCAGGAGGAACTATGCGATATCAGACTTTCTCGCACGCTTTTTGCCTCTCATCTGGCGTCGGGCTGCGGACCCCAACACAAAAATCCTGGGGTTTCCCACCATCCATAACAGGAGCTCTAATCAGCTCCAGCTTGCCGGTCGGTTTCCTGCTTGGGAAGCGGTTCCACATTTGTCCCCCTCATAGTCAATCACAGCTTATTACAGTCATGTCAAAGGGAATATGGGAAGTTTTTGTTCCACTGAGGGGTTATACAAACGTGGAGGAAGTAAATGGCCAGTTATGAGTTTTGTATTGAATTTAGGACTCGCCTTTAAAGGACAAGAACGTCCCCCTACTCTCAGTAAAAGCAGTGATGTTTTTTCTGTTGTTTTATATTGATCAGCTCATTATTTCTCAGCAGACATGCAGAGAGTTATTTTTTGTTTCAGTGCTGCTTATTTGCTGCAGTAGGTGGACCTTTCTGTGCTTCAGAGGGCTAGGTTGATGTATCCCGAGCTCATTCCTCTCATTTAATTCTAATTAAAGCCTCGGGTGGGCTCAGCTCATAAAGCCTCTTTCATTTCCCTTCTCGTCGCAGTGGCTCTCAGTCGGACCCCGTGGAAATGCCTTGGAGACATTCACAGGGAGTGCATGGATTAGGAATTATGCGCGCATGTTTGCTGGTTTGTGTAACCATCGCGGTGGATGAATATTCTGACCAGAACTCGTGCAGAATTACTCAGAGGAAGGCAGAGAGATGAGAAATACACATGAAGTGAAACTGAGATGTGCACTTTGACTCTTCACCTCTCAGCATCATCTTCATCATGCTGTTCAGTTTGTGCGTATTTGTGGCTGTGAGCATCACAGGTGTCCTTAGTACCCTCCGTCTCATTATTTTGACCAAAGAATCAAAGATTGCAGAAACTTTTTGTCACTTTGTGACTCAACTTCTAATTGTTTTTTATCAATTCATTAAGTGCTGATTAATATTTTTGTACACCTCTCATCTGAAGTTTGGTCGAATTTTGACTTATTTCAAAGACAAATAACAGAAAAAACAATATTACACAGGGGGAAATGAAGGTTTTTGCCTTTGCTTTTGGTGAAGTCACGAACCTAAATGAGCAAAACAATTTGTAATATTTAGCATTTCAGATGAGCCGATCACTGATTCACCCAGTCATGCTCTGGTTTTTAGAACATTTCTGTTTTAACCAGCTTTAAATTCACACAGATTCACATGAATGTTACTTTATAAATCTGTACACCGCAGTCAGTTTAGCACAATTTTGCATAACATTTATTTTCACAGCAATGTTGAAGAATTCTTTAACTCTGGATTAAGACTCACAGGGACGTAGATGCATCTGCAAAGCTTTAAAAACATTTAATAGATCATAACGCACCTGTCTCAGTGCCCTGAAGTGTTGGCCTGAACCATTCTCAATTTTCGGAGATTAAATATGTTTTAAAACCGGAGCGTTACATTTTGATCATAGCTGTACTCAACCTAGCTGTTAGCTCATCAGTCGTAGATGCAAACTGTTTTTGTCCAAACAGAAACATTTCAAGAAGCTATCTAAAATAACCAGTCAGTAATTATTTACCATTTTTACACAGAAATGTACTTTAAAAAGCCAAAAATCCCATAAATTAGACAGTTTCCTGAAATTTTCGCATATTGAATTAGCTTAAAGAGGCCAGTTTTGCTCCTAAACTTGCCATTTGAAATTGGAAATAATGAACAAAACTGCTTAAAAGAGAAGGTGACCATTTCATTCAACATAGTCTGAAAAATGAAAAGCCAGCTAACATAATTATCTTAAATGGAAACTAGACTGAGAAGGAAAAGAACAGGGTTGATCTTGATTCTAACCATTTCATTTTGAGTAACTTCATCTCATTCTGTCACCAACTATTTTCTTACAGAGTCACATGACTGTTTGTTAGTCTGAAACAAGACTAAAGCCTTTCCTCCCAGCCAGAAACAAGAGTCAGTAGTAAACGATAAGCAGCGCGGTGCAGAGAGAGGAGCTAAGGAAGCTGCTGGGTCCTAATCTCATTAGCCTCTGTGTTAGCCTCAGTCTCAGTGGACTGGATAAAAGAAGCGGCAGGAAGAAGAACCCAGGGAACGAGTGCCAAAAGGAATAGCTAGAGAGGAAGTTGATGAAAAACAATAAGTCTCCTTGTGTTTGAATCTGAGCATCAGTAGCTCTGTCTCCAGTGTCCAGATCCCCTTTTGTCTCCTGTCATCACAAGCAGCCTAATAGAGCTCACCGACATTAAAGTTTCAGCTAATTTGTCCCGACTCTACTTTACTGTGCAAGAGAGGAAAAGACGTAGACATCGTGAAAGTGCTTTTCATTAAAATAAACAATTTTTCTGTGCTAATGAGCCATTTTGATCATCAAGATGTTTTATTTTTCTGCTTTATTTTACTGGAAATGCAGAAACAACATCTCTGCTGAGAAAAAGGAATGAAAATGAAACAACGCTACTTAAGGTTTAGACACAGATGAATGAGTGATGTTTTTATGCTTGTGGTCATTCCAGTAAGGCGGGGATCGTTAACTGCATTTGTTCAAGGGCCGGAGTTTTTTCCAGCAGACGCCGTGAAATAAAGTTCAAGTAATATTGTATCTTAATTTACTCGTATTTAAAGTGGCTTTGTTTTCCATCTAAACGGGTTTGATTGTAGTTTTAGTTATTTGGAGAACGTAAACAATCATTGATATTTGGGACATGAATTTTGCTGCTAAACTTCAAAGTCCCCCAATCGGGGGGGGGGGGGGGGGGGGGGGGGTTTGAGGCCCAAAGAGTTGGGGGGTCAGGTGGAAAGGTCTGGAAAGCCGGATGTGGCCCGTGGTCCGCCAGTTGAAATTCACTGCTTTAACCCTCTCAGGCTCCAAATAAGTTTTGATAAAAGGACGAACAATGAAGTCCTTCAGGGGTACGTCTGAGTTGCTCATGAAATACGGATGTGGAGTAACCAGGTAGGTAGGTTTTAACGTTGCAAATCTGCAACGCCGCCTCCAGGCGGTTAAGGGCTTCAGTTACCAGAGGAAAATCCAACAAACATAAAAAGCGTCAGAGATCAGAAATAAAAGCTGTCAGACCTCAGCCTCAGATAAAAAACGACACCAGCGTTGGCCTCCGACCGTTTTTGATGATCACATCTTAGATCGGATTACTAGGTTAACTACAATTATCCGTTTGATCTACTTCTAAAGTAGGAGAATTTAATTTCATGGCTCAGTGAAATAAAATAAGAACCTACATTTATGATCCCCTTCGCCTGTCTTTTTTTTTTTCAACCTTCTGTTTTTGCTTTTTTCTGAATCCTGCTCTTTATCTAACTCTGCACAGCTGGAAATGCCTTATCTTGTGTGTCCCAAGAGTCTTATAAGAGCCCTCTCTGATACCCCTCCTCCCTTCCTTACTCCCCCAGAGGTAAGAGCTTCTCCCTTCTCCTCACTTTGCTCCCTGCAGCAGCAGCAGCCTCCTTCTGCTCCCTCCAAACCCCCTCCTTAACTCTACTGGCTGGTTTGCTCCAGGCCAAGTGAGCTGCCCACTTTCAGGTCCTTACTAACAACCCTCGAGCGCACCTGCATCCCAGTTCTCCTCCAGGGATTAACCAGCACTTCTTGGCATTGATTAGTGCTTGTGATGAATCTTCCATGAAGGCTCAACATGCAAACAGCTGTGGCCTGAGCCCAAATTACACGTCAGTGCCAGTATTTTTATTGGTTTTATTTAAAAGTAAAAAACGCAGCCAGGGTAGTTCTGATTTAGCCTCACAGCTAATTATTTGTGGGGTTTATTTTTCTGAACTTCACTCAAACAAAATTCTAAATTTTAGCAAGAGTAAATAAATATTAGATGCATCACAAGCCTGCAGAAAAGCGTACTGATGATGGGAAAACAGGGGATTTGGGATACAGCCACTAACTGTGCACTTTACTAACATTAGAACTTGAGGGTTTCTGCACATTAAAGGGACTTGGGGGGCATTTAGAGGTGTAAAGTTATAAATAATTACTATTTAACGTGCTTGAGACAGCTTCCTGAACAGCCTCTGTTTGCAGAAATAAAGCTTGATGAGCCCAGTCTGAACAACCAGGCCAAAGTGTATTACTGTCATCGTGAAAATTATGTAATAATCATGTGGATATTATTTTATTAACATTTTCATCTGTCACTTTTACATTATATGTTTATTTAGTAGAAATGCTAAGAAGTTTCTTCTAGATTTGACCACAGGATGTGCTAGAAGTGTGATTGCTCTGCTGCTCTGCTCTCCTAGATGACCAGAATTCCATGAGGATTACTGCATAAAGTGAAATTAAAATCCCTGTTAAAAAAATATGCATTAAAAGGGAACTAGGCAGTTTTGGCTAGCTTTTAGCACCCTCTAGTGTCCATTTGTAGAACCAAAACCTCTCTCCTCGCTGTAAGTATTTTTAACACCTTAATCTAACAGCTGAAACCTCAACCAGCCTTCATTAGTGTCAACAGGAGCAATTCATCACAAAACTAAACATGCTCATAATCTAAAACATGCAGGAAACATCCTGGAACTAGGCTGCAGCGCCAGGTATGTCAGCTCCTTTTTTTTCGAAGTCCCAACAGAGCGGCCCGCCAGTCTGAAGTTGCAAGTGGAATATTCTGGCCACAGGGAGCGATAGGGGCTGGGTGGCCTTTCATTAACCCTGTAAAGGGTCGTTTCAGCACATACTGGCTCAAGAAAGTGATTTAAAAATATGAAAAGGTTGCAAAGCATCTTTAATAACTTTTAAGAAAGCTGCAAAGCCCTTTGGGCTTTATTGTTTTTACAGTAGCTGCAAGCTTATCGGCCCTGTAGGGTAGGAACTCAATTTCTCAGAACAGAGGCCCTTCAGGAAGCTATTATTTATTTCTTACACAAAAACAATCTTGTCCTTTAATGTGGGTTTGTGTTAACTCTGTGGTCAAACTAACAATTAAGCACTTTTTCTTAAAATAATATATTTTCTGGTCATTTTACAAAGGTGAACAACATAAATCATTGCATTGATGTTTGATTTTTGTTTTTTTCTGCTCTTTTCATTAGAGCTCAGATTAAAGAGTGTCATGGTTATTTAGTTAGAATAGGAGCATGATACAGTTAAAGAAGCAGGTTGTGTTTTTGTCAGCTGCTCGATGGTCCAGCTGAATGCTTTTGCAGACTTCCTTTTGCATGGGGCGAGGGGTTGTTGCGTGGCTGTGATTCTGCTGAAGTTGCCCCTATTTACAAGAGCTCTACACACATCTGCACACTCACATCTGAATGCATGCGCTCATACAGGCACATAAAAATGCAAAAATCGATCTACTGTCTCTTTCTCTCACACACACACACTCAGAGCTTCCTCCGCTGTTACAGTCCATTCAGATGAACGATGAAGCCTCGACTCAACCGCAAAGCTCACTAAAACTGGCTAACTTCATAACAAACGTGACAAATACACACACACACACACACACACACACACAAATCATAAAATTCACTGCAGCCTTAAAATCTTTACTTTTTAGACTCATAATTATTATTTATTATTGTTTTATCTGTCACTTTCTCCTATAATGCACTTTTTTTTAAGTAGATTATAAAACTCACATTTTTAGGACCTTTGCACATTTTTTGCTGCTATTTCTGCACACCTTTAGGGCCAGGATTCTCCCATCAGTTAGTAACGTGTCATGATGAGTGAGAGCCAACCCGATCACCATTAAGTCTCAGCTGCAGAGCAGCGACAGTCAACATTATCTAGCCATGCCAGAGGAGAGAGACGCTGTCCAGAACCCACGTCGGGATGAATCAGACTCCTGTCAGCCACCAGGTTTCTCTTAAAGATAAAAGGAAAACAAGGTATTGAATAAACACAGACCCCACAGGATCTGTGCAATGTAGAAAGGAAAAAGACTGATTCTGCAAAAGTTGAAGGTCATTGAAGGGTCGTTTGACTCATATGTCAAAACTGTCCCATCATTGAATTGAGCTCTATTAGTCATTTGTAGATAATGATGGAAACTAATCTGTGCACAGACTTTTGAGTTTTTTTCACAAGTTGTCAGGATTCTTCATCACAAACGTAGCATATTCCACGAGCATCATCCTGTTTCTGCAAACACACACACTGAAACACACACACATCGTAGAGCTCCACACCTGCAAATAGTCTCAAACAAATGCATTATTTACAAGAAGAAATATATATTTGCTGAAAAAATATATGCATTGAAGGGATTTTCTCATCCATCTTGAAGTGTGTTTCTGTGTAAAAGTTATAAATGATTACTGTCTTGCATATTTAGATAGGATTTTTGAAAGGTCTTCTCTTGGAGAATTTGTGTTTACGTCCTTCAAAAATGCTAGCACCGCTGCGTTCAGAGCCCACTTTATTCTTGTCTCCATTCAGACTAGCCGTTATTATCACTCTTTTAGTAGAATTAACCATTTCTCCCAACCGAGGCCTTTCAGGAAGCATTCTGTAATAGGATGATAAGCATAGATTAACACAGAAACACACTTTATAATAAAAACATGTGGTGTTAATATGAAATGTACAGTTGTTGCCTCTTATGTTTTTTTTTTTTGTAGAAGTTAGTTTTGATTAAAAGTATCTTCAGGTGGTGAACTGACTAACCCTGTTACATCAATCAGCTTCAAATGTCTGTGTTGTCCTGCTTTTGTATTAATCTATCATTTTATTTTTTCCATGTATCGTGTGTGTGTGTGTGTGTGTGTGTGTGTGTGTGTGTGTGTGTGTGTGTGTGTGTGTGTGTGTGTGTGTGTGTGTGTGTGTGTGTGTGTGTGTGTGTGTGTGTGTGTGTGTGTGTGTGTGTGTGTGTGTGTGTGTGTGTGTGTGTGTGTGTGTGTGTGTAAAGTTTTTACTTTCAACATTCTTTTTCTCATTTGTTCACCTGTTCCAGTGCACTCTTTACATTTCTACCTCAGTCTTGTGTTTGGGATGAGGTGTGTGTGTGTGTGTGCACCAGCACTGTGCCCCCCCCCCCCCCCCCCCCCCCCCCCGGCTGCTGTCATTTTCTGTTTAGCAGCACTTTTCTTTTATCCTCTTCCCCCCTTTTGTTCCTCTTGTTCTCACCACTCACTGTTTTGTTGGCGTGTGTGTGTGTGTGTGTGTGTTTCTTTCTGTTTTTGGAGTCCCCTCCCTTCACCCCTGCTGCTTCTCTTCTGGTTTTTTGTTTTTTTGTAGTTGCAGGACCCCCGCATGTATGATCAGGTCTATAGGTACTTAGACCTTCCAGGGCAGGTATGTGGAAAAAATTACAGAGATTATATTTTCTAATTCTGTGTGATTTCTGATTCACCTGCTTTGTTTCATTTCAACTCTGTTGGTTGCGCTTGTGCTGAAGTCTTGGAGGCAGGGAGTGCTCACAGCCTGACATTGTTTTTTTGTCCTATTTTGTTAAGTTTAATAAAAAAAAATCATGAGCTTTGATTTGGTTGAAGAGCACTCACTGTTTCCTTGTAGCTGCTTTCCTGTCTTTTGTTTTCAGAGCTAGTTTAATTTGCTTTACTGCAGGTAGACAGAAGTAACAAATACGTTTGAATGCAGATATTTATGTGTTACTAAATCTGGGTTAAAATTTCAGTTAGTGTAAAAAATTCTTCTGAAATGACAAAATATACTTTTGTTGTCTCTCCCTCTCATCATCTTTTGCTGGTTTTAATTCTCTTCCACAAACATCTGCATCATCCTTTTATTTTATCTCACCTCCTTCTTCTCTCCCTTAAATCATTCCATCTCTTCATCATCCTCATCATCATCATATCTGGCTCTACAAAAGCTAAAGGCCATCGACCGCCCACCGGAGTCGGAGAAGGTCCCACGTCAGCCTCACGATCGGAAGAAGGAGTGGCAGAAACTGGCTCTGGGTGCAGAACTTGCTCAGGACATCCAGGAGGACAAACACCGAGAGGCCAACGGATCTGCTGGTTACCACAACAACAGGTGTGTGGCGAATTCTCCATCTGTGGAAGGTCAAGCAGTAGGGAGGATTCAGTAGGCATAAATGTAGAATTGATAAATTGTAATTAGGGGTGGGAATTGATTAAAAATGATCCAATTAATTAGAGGCTTTGTACTTAATTAATCTTGATTAATCACATTTTAATCGTTCAAGTCAATTTGCACCGAAGCGATTATTTTTTTATCAACAATAATAGAGACGCAGATGACTTACTCACACTTGAATGAGAATATTTCTGTAACGTCAAGGTCTATCTGGTTACTTTGGTAACCATTGTGGGATGTGTTTGGATGTGTAAATATTGGTACATGTGTTATTGATCAAGTATAAATGAACATGAAACATTGTAAATGTTGTGAACTGAACTGAACACTAGGTGGCAGCAGAGCACCACTAACACATATAGAGGTGTAGTGTAGAGTTCATTCATTGTGATGCAAACCTCTTGTGGCCCCCCAATTAGGGTGATCAAAGTTAACACACTATTATTTTCTAATTAACTCATTCGCTGCCAGCGTTTCTCACCGTTTTTACTGTTTTTTTAAGAGTCACAGAACATTGTGCGCTAGGATGATGTCAACGCCAAAACAACCAAAACAAAGAGGAGACTCACCTCTTACATCAGGAAGAATCCTCGCATTTCGAGCATTATCCGTTCTTTCATAATCCGTTGTTGAATTGTGATCGGCAGATGCTTTTCCGGTTCGCACCTCGCTTGTTTTTTAACAGGAACGGCCCAAAACGATCTCCTAACACATGGATGTTCTGCTTCCTGATCACGTGACGTGTGACGTATACAGATGAAGATCGGCTTCAGAGCTGAGATGTTTGTTCTCTCAGCGTTGGGGCTCGTTCCGATGCCCAAACAGTAAAAAAAAAAAATGCAAATGACGACTGTAGTCGTCATTGACAGTGAATGAGTTAATGAATCGTAATTAATACGTTAAATTCCTCCCTTAAATATAATTTTAAAAAATGGTATAAAATCATTTCTACAAAAATAAACGGCAGCCGGCTCATCTTAGTGTATTTGTAATTATCGTTTCAATATAATTAATAATGGAATTTTGCTAATTTATGGATGTGTTGAATGCATCTATGCTGTGAATACTTTGCTGTAAATGGAAACCACTGAGCGACACGTGTAGATCATCTGTGGAAAGTTGATATTTTCTATGAAGGACAAACTAATTTGATCATGATTTTACCTGCTGATGCTCATCAGTGATTTTTGGTGTTTATCAAGCCTAAAACAGCTGGTCAGTGGTCAGCGTGGTTTTGGATCAGAAGTAAACTCACGTCTTTTACTTAATAAAATGATCTAATCATCTGATTTGTGTCTGCTCAGGACTCAGTTGTACATGGATCAGTTGGACGGGCCCTTCTCGCTGGCGGCGCTGCCCTACAGCCAGATGAACGAGCTGCTGAACCGCACCGGGGACAGAATGTATTCCCGACCCCACGACCCTCCGCCGCTGCCTCCTCCCGGCCACTCGCTGGGAGAGATCAAGCCTCCCTCTGTGATCAGGTGAGGCAGCAGACACGGGGTTTCTCTGAGTGGAGATGAATTAAAAGAGGAGTCTTTGAGCAGCGCTGGATCAATGAGCTTATTAAAGGCTGCTCAACTTTCCCAAATCTGCTGGTTATTGAGCAGAGGGAGAGATCTGAGGCAATGGTTAAAGAAACACCAGAACGTCTGAAGGGTTTTGGTGCCGTAATTAACTGATTAATTCCACGACATGTGATCGATTAAAATGTGACATCAGAGGTTAAATTAGGGCCTTATGTTCTGTTCTCTCTTCAGCTCCAGTTCAGGTTTTTCCGACAGCAGACCTCAATCCCCAGCTAGGACAGCGGGCCTCAACTCCAGCACTCCTCCGCCTCCTCCACCTCCTCTTCCACCACCTCCTCCGCCTTTACCCTCCACAGGCCTGCGAGGCACCCCTCCTCCTCCTATTCCTCCCCTGCCGGTCCAGCATCAGCCTCCTGCCATCCCGCCTCCTCCTGCTCCTCTCCAGATCGCTCCAGGAGTGCTCCACCCGGCCCCACCGCCCGTGGCGCCACCCTTACACTCCTCGTCCCCGGCTCGTCTCCAGCACCTCCTGGATAAGGGTCAACCCGGAGGCTCCCAGTTAGACGGCACCATCTTGCCTCCTCCCCCACCACCACCTCCTCTGCCTCTCCCTGGAGCAAGAAGCTCGCCTCCCTGTCTGTCAGGCCCTCCACCCATGCCCGCTTTCCCTTCAGCAGGAGCCATGGCCTCCCCACCTCCCCACACCAAGCATGACGTGGTGACAAAGAGGCACCATCCAGCCAATCTGCCCCCCATCAGCGACGCACGCAGCGTCCTGTTGGAGGCCATCAGAAAAGGTGAGAAGTGGTTTAAAAATGGAAAAGCTGCTAAAGTCGCTGAAGACAAAGGAAGGAATCTGTGAGAAAATTGCAAATAAAATGAGGATAAATTGTAAAGTAGGTAAATATTTTTAACACAAACATTTATTTTACTGAGATTAATTGGAGTTAATCGTTTTCTGTAGCTCATGATTTGCTGAGCTTCTGGTTTTCGTTCCGTTTTCAGCCAATGAATCGTTCCTAGACCTGCTGTTCGTCCCAGATTTGAACTTTTATTTAAAACCCCTCTGAGTGGCTTCCACATTATCCTGTAGGTCATCGTTCATTCGCGCTGTGATGGAATGCCCGCACAGTTTTCTGAGTCTGAGCAGACGTCACATCTCTGGAGTTCAGAATCCATCCAGCTGCTTACATCAGAGCATTGGAATGCCTCGGAGTAAGAAAAAAAAATAGGGGAAAACACCAGAATGCTCGGGAGCTTCAGGGTTGTTCTTCTCCTTGCCGTGACCTTTATGTAACGCTTGCCATTTATGGTATATTTAAACTATGTTTCTGCCTCGTGAGATTTGGGTCAGGACCCAAAAAAAAGGAAAGAATGATGATGGAAGAGGCTGAAAACGAGTTTTCCCTGGAGAGTTCAACCGAGGAGACAGAAGAGGCGCTGACACGCAGCTGATCCAGAACCCACTGAAGGGATTACAGGTGCTGGTCATAAAACTAGAATATCCTGACAAAGTAGATTTGTTTCAGGAAATCCATTCAAACTGTGAAACTTGTATATTAGATTCTTTCGTTTTGATGGTTATAACTGACAACTAATGAAAATCCCAAATTCAGTATCTCACAATAATAGAATACTATGAAAATTTTCTATTTTGAGGACTGCTGGTGCCACACTCAAATAGGCAAATTAACTCAAAACACCTGCAAAAGCCTTAAAATGGTCTCTCAATCTAGTTTTGTAGGCATGGGGAAGACTGCTGACCTGACAGTTGTCCAAAAGACGACCGTTAACACCTTACACAAGGAGGGCAAGACACATAAGGTCATTGTTAAAGAGGCTGGCTGTTCACAGAGCTCTGTGTTCGTGCATATTAACAAAGAGGTGAAGGGGAGGATAAGATGTGGTAGACGAAAGTGTACAACAATGTACAAGTTTCACTTTTTGAATGGAATTACTGAAATAAAATCAACTTTGTCACGATATTCTAGTTTTATGACCAGCACCTGTGTTTCTGAGGAGAAGTGTTCTTAAGATTGCTAGGAATTCCTTCTGGACTCGGCAACATTTCCATTTCTGGTGGTATTTCGTACAGACATCTGCTTCACAGAGACGTGTTCCACACTTTTAAACATCTGATCTGCTCGTTTTCTTGTAGCTGATGTTGTTTGTTTTATGACGTTTCTCTTTGTTTTCCTGCTGCAGGCATACAGCTGCGAAAGGTGGAGGAGCAGCGAGAGCAAGAGGCTAAACACGAGCGGGTGGGGAACGACGTGGCCACCATCCTCTCGCGGCGAATCGCCGTGGAGTACTCCGACTCCGAGGATGAGTCAGAGTTCGATGAAGGAGACTGGATGGAATGAGAGGGGTTAAAGACAGAGAACGTGTTCAGGTGACCTGGACCTCGACAGCTCGCCGTCAAAAGGAGAAGCTCACTTTTCCACATTCAAACTTCCTTCTTCTTTCTTTTATTTTTTAAAAACCGTGTCTTATTTCTGTCTTGTTGTGGTTTACATCGGGTGGAGAGTCTCCACTCTTGTCGTTCTGTCTGTTGTTCCACGAGACGTTCGTTTTATTTCTGCTGGAATTCTTGTGACGAAGTCCCACCAGTTTACTGCTAGATGTGAAAACGGAAGGAAATATGAAGGCGTCTATTTTTAGTTCAACGAAATTCTGCCACTTGGTTGCAGAAAACCGAGTGAACGCTGCTTTCCTTTAATTTTCTTTTATTTATCTTTTAAATCATTTAGCTTTACCAGGATGCTAGTTTCCAGTGAACGGCTTCAACACTCGCTGGGTTTGTTTTTGTTGTTGCAAACTGACCGTACAAGAAGCAACCGATCGTGTTGTTCTGCGGTGATTGTTGTGACGTTTAAAGGAGGATGGAAAGCATCCGAGAGCAAATCCGCCTAATCCCAGGGAAAGGTGCGACGAGTTTTCTTCTGTCGGAGCAGCTTCGTCGGAGCCACTTCTGTAAATGGTGGAAATGTCAAAAAGATAAACTAAGCCATGATTTTTTAAAGGTATAATTGTCTCCCGTCATTTTCTCAGACTCTTTGCCACAAAAGTGCATCCTGAAAGTGACTTTGAGCTGCAGAAGTCTGCCCGAGTAAATCAGGAGAGCCAGATCAACACCAGGTACGGCAGCTTTATCAGATCTCCAGCAAACCTTTCCTTGTTTGCTACTTCAGCCGTTGTTCGGAAGAAGAAACTCTGCGTCCGATGACGTTTTGGAAGAGAGAAGGCTGCATTTGATTTTGTTCATTTCAAACTAAATGTCTGCCATCATTCTCGTCCGTTCTTCTTTTCGCCTTACTGTTCGTACAAAACGTACCGTTGAGTTGATGAATGTATCGTGCTGTTACTACTTACTTGCCTGCGCTTGTATGGATTTGCTGTTTCTATGTTATTTTTTTATTTGGGGGGGGGGGGGGGGGCACATCGGTACAGAAACGGTGGTTTAAAGAGAAAAACATGAAAGGTTAGATGGAAAATGTCTACCATATAACTTATGTAACAGTTGACCGTAACAGTTTGCTTGAATGAATAAAAATCTAATGTTACGTTTCAGCTTCACATCATAAAGGTTTGAGTTTCTCAAAGACATGATTTAGCGGCCTCGTCTCCCACAAGTGTTTAATTTGTCACCTCTGGGCTGCTGCATGTAAAAAATAATAATTACTAGAGCATGAGTACTAATAATTAAATCCTGCAACACCTCTGTTAAAACAGTTAAAACAGAGACATCTATAAGAAAATGTGAAAATAATTATTTTAATGCAAATATCTGCTAACATGTAACTGTAGTATATCTTTACATCGTTCCCCTTCACTCAAAATCTAACACTTTATACTTTTTGGCATAATTTTATTCATAAACTGCATTTTCTGAAACTGACAAAAACACTAATGCATGTATAAATTTGCTGTTTTAAGTACCGATTCATATCTGCATCCATTTGCAGTAAAAGCTAAGCAGCTGCTGGTTAGAATCAATGAATTGCCAGCAAACTACTTCCGAGCTTTTGAAATAAATAAATGTGTTCCTTATAATCTGTTTAAAGCTGTTTTAGATAAATCAGTGAAGTCTTAACTGCCTATTTTACATTAAGAAATTTGTTTTTGTAGCTTGATACGTTTACAAACCTTTAATATGCTTTGAGAGGTATTGTTCAGATCTTAAAAGATGTTATCTGTTACCGTTAGTTCTGTCTGGACTGGCTGACTAATGGATTGCCGAGACAAGCCAAAACTCCCTCCTTAATAAAACTGCTTGAATTTCTAAGATTTAATATCAGTTCACTCAAATGTTATTTTTATAAATAATACATTGTTATTTACATAAAAATCCACTGTTATATGCACCTGGCTGTACTTCCAACACTTTCCTCAGAGCTTTAGAAAATACTGCTTTAAAATGTTTATTTTAATTGGAAATTAGTTTTTTTTAGTATTTTTTTTAATAAACAAAAATCTACTTTGTAACTTCCTGCCTGTGGTTAGCTCATTAGCTGTTAGTTGTTCTATTTGGTGAAAACTAATATCTTTTCGCCAAAGTACAACTGTTAAGGTATTCATTGTTCAAAATCTTTTCACAAAAGTATTTCTAGTTTGCATTAATGTTTCATAAAACTTTGATTCAAAGGTTAATCCAAGATATTCTAAAATCTCTCATAATGGCATGTCGCCAAACATGGCCTCTACGACAATCCCAATAAAAAAAACAACTTCAAGGAGTTTAATAACTGCTGTAACATCAGAACATTGCTGTTTAAGGCTGTAAAATGAAGGTATCGGTCTTTAAGTTTTCAAAGACACTTTTCTGAACAAATGGGTTAATTTTAAGATTACATTTCTGTCCCAGCTTTGAATCTCTTTAGTGACATCTCCAAATACCTCCAATCCTCCGACATCCCATCACTTGACTTTTAGCGTATTATTACTTCTCCTTCGGGGTCGCTCCCTTTAGACCTGATGGGCCTTGCTCCAAAAGCTAGTGAGTGAAGGGATGCTGTGATGAAGGGCTGAGTCAGCACAGCATCGCCAGCAGTCTGCCATCTCCACGTGGTGGACAAGATGGAGCGGGATAAGAAATCAGATTATTTCACCTACAGCTTTGTGGTTGATTCTTTGTTGGTGTTACAGTAAAATAATTAAACCAAAAGGACAATTAAATGATGGAAAATAATCATTTTTATCATTTTCTTCAGCTTCCTGCAATCTTCCCTGCAGACCAGGGGTGCGCTATATGTCTTGTAGTTTCTTCAAACAGCGTTTGTGTGATTCTTGAGTAAAATTATTAAAAATGTTTCAGATAATTTTCCGATGTGTGCATAAAGGTTTAAACACGTCTTATAATCTAGTCTGACTAAATTATGTTAAAACTTTCACTTATGTTGAATAGAAACTTTTTGATTTTATAAATTTTACAAAAGTTCAATAAATATATTTCAGATTCCACCAAATGATGGAGTTTTAAGACAGAAAGCATTGCAACAAAACGGTGAATTTAAAAGCTGAATGAACCATTTCATCATTTTAAAGAGCTAAAAAAAATTAAAGATATAATTATCAATTTGTTGGTGCAGAAACACAAAAGGTTTACTTAAAGCAATCTTCTCTTCATTTTTTATTGGATTGCTGATTGTTATGCTGGTCGGAGTGGTGCTAAGGTGGAATTTTACTAAGTAAATCATTCTCATTTAACAAGTTAGTGAAAGCAATAAAACGGCCTCGGCTAAATTACTGATGATACTAATTTACTCAGTTTTCCAGCTTGGCACCATTCCAACCAGCATAATCCCTCAACTTTACCTCTCAGTAACTCAGGGAGGGGACTGGGCCCCCGAGACCAACCCCTTCCAGGGAAGTTGCATTTGAACCAGTTTCTGCACCACTGGTAACTGACGAACATGAACAATCCCACTACCCCACCAGTACCCTTCATGCTTTCAGTTGCTCTGGTGGAACATTTTAACTTGTTGTTTATAGATTTAGTCATTAAAATGCTGATCAGCCATGTTGGTTTGAACCAACATCATCCAGACTGCAGATCTGCCTGAGCTGCACAAGCTGACTGCTGTATCTGTTATTTTAGAGCTGTTCATGTTCTGAATCATTCATATAAAATTTAAAATGAACGGTCACTCGTGGAGTTGAACCCTGAATCTTCAGCCCTTCTAACCAACAGTTTATAGCCTGAGCTCAAATCAAATCAATTCAAAGATACTTTATTAATCCCAGAGGGGAATTAGAGTTTCAGTACACAATTCTGAGATCAGACATACATGGGTAAGACACACGACAAGAATTGGTGACTGTGGTCATTCGCAACCCTGAGTCGCGCTACCTTAATAAAGATAAGAGGGTTACATGAGGATTGGTTCAGGTGGAGGGAAAAAAAGGCACTTCAGAGCTACCCTCCACAGGGATGGCAGCTTTGCTCTGCAAAAAAACACCTCAGACAGATATGCAACAGACTTCAGACAACACATCATAAGTGTCCACTAGGTGGGGTGGTGGGTTGGGACAATCCCCACTTCAGTTCCTGCAGCCACATAAAGCAGCGCATGTCACCTCAGTGTGGATAGGGGGAGGAGCATTGAGTGTTGGAGGGTTGCAGTGACCCTGGAACGTTTCAGCGGCCTTCCCGCAGTCCCGCCCAGGCTGGGAAAGGAGACAGAGTTGAGTTGCCATAGCGACGGCACATTCCACATATATTCTGAGGGGGAGTTTTCGTTGGAGCCTTGCAGGCTCAAGGGCGCCAGATTCCGATTAGAAATTGTTTTGGGGCCAGACAGAGATAATTTCCTCTCTGTATTACAGTTTGTTGGTCCTCAACCTCTCAGAATCCCAATAATGGACGTTAATCTATCCCAATCTGTGCTGATTCGTCCGCTCTCTCCTTGATGGCATCCATCTTTTGTGCCAATGAATGAATCTCCGCCAAAGTTCCAAGCTTACGATTCATCTCGACAATTATGTGAGTCTGTGAATTCACAGCGCGGTGCAATCCATCTCTGAGCTCCGGGATCAGGCCAATATTCCTCGACAGCTCGTTAATTTTCCGGTAAGCCAGGTAGCCTCCAAGACCAATGAGCAGGAAACCTGACACCAACACCACGAATATCCACACATCTTCAGAGTCCTCCACAGACCGCTGAGATAGACAGACCCAGTTCCACTGTTTCCAGGAGTCCACGATGTGTCCAACTGGGTGTGTCGCGGAGGGGCATCCAGGAGCCCCTTCTCCCGTTCTCATCATTGAAAACATTTTATCAACCGCGTTGAGAGACCAACTGACGAGATCCATTTTAGTGATTTCAGTTTACAATTTCCAGAAAAAATGCAGAAGCAGCCGTGCACCCAGCACACACAGACAGACAAAGGCCTTGAGGATAAGATATGGAGGAGAGGAGAAGAAAAGCGTCTGCACCCTCCAAGAGCCTGTGGTTTAAGCTAGCTGAGTCTGAGGTTTGGTGTGTTCTCCAATCTGATGTCTCATCCACCGAGCCTGTCAGCATTCTAAAACACACACATGTATGTATGTATATGTATATATATATATATATATATATATATATATATATATATATATATATATATATATATATATATATATATATATATATATATATATATACACATTTTTATAACAATCTTCATGGTAACATGATGGATTTTGATACATTATAACTTTAATTCTTTTCCACTGATTATTTTAAGCCAGCATAAAGCTCCAGAGCGACACCTGGTGGGACCCGACCCCACTGGCACCAAATGCAGAGACGTCACAGCTGCAGACTTGCAGGAGATGCGCTGAAACACTCTGCCTTTCAGACTGTTGTCTGTAAGGCAGACGGTAATCCAGGAGGTTTCCGCGGTGTCTCACAGCTTTGCAGGTGTCAGAAACACTGAAGGAGATCATACAATTCAATCCTCACAGTGCTGCTTTGTCCTAATGGAATTTGGCTCGCTGGGAGGAGGGCCGCTCCTAACTCCAGAACAATAAGCATCCAGCATTTTATTTATCCTGGTAGAGCTGTGGTTAAAGTGTGAAAAAGTTGGGAAAGTAGCCGAGAGACGACCTCCAGAGGATGAGCTGCTTTGATGTTTGTGGCTGGCCAGAAGGGTACACGTTTCAGCAGCAGCACAGCTGACTTCTCCACATTCACAACTAACCATTTGGCATCCTGGGAGAAGATGCACATGATTGCACCATCTTTTCACAACAACCCCTGCTTTGTTCTCACTGCATCTAAAAGGTGTCAGCTCTCCAAACTCTACATCCCATCCTGACTGCTGCTCTAGTCCCACATCCATAACACTTTCTCCTGACTTCTAATAAAATCCAGCAATCTTGGTGCTTGGTTTTGTCTCCAAGCTGTTGGTTTGTTAGCGACTCTTTGTGAGAAAGTTACCCAACCTGAGTCGTTATTTGGTTCCCACGACTTTCCAAAAGTCGTTGATGCATTTTGTGCTCCCGTGTTGACGACTTCTCACAACTAAAAGATGCAAAGGGCTGCATTCCACTATAAAAATGCATGCAACAGCCCTCATTAATAGAAATGATAAAAGCCACATAATGCAAAGGGAAATCCCACCTTAGGTTTTTTAAATATATATGTAGAAATTATTTTTTTAATTCTCAGATGATTGCCCCACAAACATATTTGTCTCCTAATTTAGATGGAGGATTAAAAAAAAATAAAAACAGACATAAAAGGGGAGAATTGTTTATCTGGTCCCAGTGTTGTGGGACAAAAAGGTGTGTGTTGTCTCACCTATGGCGTCCTGCAGCAGATGAGTGAGTCTGCTGTTCCTGTAGGGGATGTGAGGCCTCTGTTCAGCCAGGACATCAGGAAGAGCCGAGAGGCTGCGGTTTATACAGCACGCCTCCCACAGTGCCGCACTAGAAACTCCAGTCATGCCTGACTCAGTCGTCAAAGGAAAGCTGTGGCTGATGGATTTTTACATTCTCCATTCAGAAAGAGCTTCTATTTAAACAGATTCATGATCACGATGATAACCCACCAACACACTCGCTCCCTGCTATGTCCACCAGCTGCAGCTTGGTCCTGAACGGAGTCTGAGATGCTGCGGCTTGGGGAGGGGAATGAAGAGGCGGTGAGTGCTGTGTGGCAGGTTTGGCACGGCGATAGCTCCTTACAGGTGGACCACTGCATGTCCTTCTTGGCTCTCTGGATCCTGTGAGCTAAGAGGAGGAGGAGGAGTGATGAAAGCAGGAAGTGAATGAGTAGCGTGCACGTTCCTGCAGCTTCGTCTCACCCAGAGCCAGGGCGTTGGGGCTTTTGGTGGAGACGGTGAGGGTGATGAGATGAGAGTGGGACACTTCTGAGTTTCAGGATGCTGCTGATAATCTGCATCACCTCAGAGGCGCTACGAACAGGCCTGAAGAACAACCAGAAACTGAAAAGCACAGCATTTTGAAGGACAGTGACGGAACGGTTCCTGTTTGTTTTGTGCCATTTCAAATCTAATTAATTGCTTCTGCAATGAAAAATTACCACGAATACCATTTAAACCGTACTCACTGGGCTGAAACTGGGTCTCGAGAGTCTTTAAATGTTTTCAAAGTTTCTGAGATTTCATGAGTCAAAATGTGTTAGAAGCTGTAGGATGTGTTGGCAACCAAAATGCTAATAAAACTGGAGTAAGATGTAAAGAAACAGAATTAAAACTCAGCAGTTAGCATACCTGCACAAAAGGTGCTGGCAAAATGTGTACACAAAATTAAAAAGCACCAATTCAGACATTAGAAAATCTGCAGATTTTCTTGCAGCTTTGTTTCTCTGGCAACCAGTGGTCACAGTCCAGTAAGATACTGGTTTCACTTCCATTCCAAACATCAAACGGGTGCATTTCATCCAAACACAGCCTCAGATCAGCTGTACTCACTCAGACGTGAGAGAGGGGACCAAGCTGGCACCGGAGGAGGTGGTGATAACATCCTGACACTGACCCGCTGCATTTCTGTGCTCGTCTCTGGTGAGCAGGTCGTAGACCTCATTATCGCAGACCTCCATGACTGAGAGCTCCACAGAGTTTCTCAGAGATCATCCTAGGAGCCACAAGAACGTAAAGAAAGGTTGAGCTGGTTAGTGCCTTAGAAATATTTCTGAGACGCTCTGTCACCTGAAGAGGTCTGCAGCAGCTTTTGAGATGCTTCCCTGCTGTGCTTCCTGTTGCATCCCATCCAGCTGGTGAAGTCCCATCATGGTGTGGGTTTCCCCACTGCCCGTCTGCTCATACGCCATGATGCACCGATTTTACCTGCAACAAAGCAACAACCTGAGTGGGTTTGACCCACCCTGGACTGAAAGTTTCTCTAATCCCACTCACCCATCCAGCAAGGATGTAAGAAGTGACACGGCATTCTGGGAGTCTTCAAGTCCATGGACTAAAAAAAAAAAGCAAAAACTAATTAAAAATACCAAGTGCTAAAAGCAAACATCACATTATTCTGTGATTTTTACCTGTCAAACTCAAACATCTTCTGCTGCAGAGACAAACCCAGTTTCAGGCAGTCCACCATCACAGAATACTTCTAAACAAATAAAGTGAGGGCAGAAAAACGAATAAAACTCTTCTGAGTGCTTCACAAATCACATCACTGTGTGGATGACCATTTCTGATGATGTAAGCCTGGTGAGGATTAGCTTCATTTAATTCAGAATATTTTTGTTATAATTTTTTTTGTTTTGTTTTTTCATTTTAGGTTCAGTGGCCCACCCTGATCCACAGGTGGAAGACTGAATGAGGTCAAAGGGCAGAAGAGGACACATCCTGCAGTGAACCCAGATGTGTCCCCACATCTCCTGCAGTTGAACTCACCCATTTATGACTTTTTTCTGAGCAATGCTGCATTAAAACACTCATCCTCACCAGCTCTTTTCTCCTGCACCGCTCCCTTTCTTCCTCCAGAGCACGCTCAAGAGCTGCAACACCAGTCTGCAAATCTGGATGGAAACTCAAAGGTTAAAACAAATATTTGCATATCTGAAGTCACAAATGCATGTATTGCTAAAAAAAGGTCTCATTCCATCCAAAATAAAAGACAAGTCGGTTTTTATCATTTTTTTTCTGCAAGTCAAAAGGGGAAGAGGTTTGTCTTCACTGAGAGAAGGGGAGGGACGTTCTGAGAGGATTAAACTGAGAAACAGTTGGTACAAAGCCGACAAATCACCTCAGGATTAAAGATGCACAGATAGCAAGGGAGTGGCAGTGTTCTCTGCGGGGGGATGGGTGGTCACAAAAAATATCTCACATTAAGAAAAGTGTGCAAAGTCACAATTTTACATAAAAAGAAATCCTAATCTCAGATATCTGTTGTAGATTTAAGGTCTCTTCCATAAATTTTACACCAGTAAACATTTAATTTGTTACTGTGTGCTCATTTTGCACAGCCTTCCTGCATTAAAAACTGGACTTGTAGCATTAATTTAGTCCCCTCTCCTCCTCCCCATCATAATCCGTTTTATTAATATTCCAAACAGAATAAAACAAAGATTTTTGTTTCAGTTTTAGTAATATTAGGATGGTAAATAATTCCCTGACCCCTTCTCGTTCACATATAGTTAATTAAAAACTCTTTAGCTAGTTAGACTCAGCACGTTGACTCCACACAACCATCTTATTAAACTTAAATGACCAAGTTTTAATTTAAATAGAGCCCACTCATGAATTTAGCGCTGTGACTCATTTATGAGCGGTTATGACAGGTTTTGCCTTTAGGGGGCAGTAGCGCCCACCAGGGGCTCCCCAGACGTAAACATCATAGAGAAGAAGTAAAGCACTTCCGCCTTGTCACAACTTCATTCAGTCCGTTCAGCCCGTAGATATTCAGCCACTCTCTTTCATTTGGTCTCAAAATGGCTAAAGTAAAAAACAAACGTGAGAAAATCAGCATCGCCACTGAGGTAAAACTGTTGTTTTCTTGTATTTGTTGCATTCCGTCAGTCACTGCTCGGTTAGCGTCTGCTAACGTGGAGATTTGTTCCCTCCTGTCTGTCTGGCTCCACTTTCTTCAGCTTTAATGTAAACTAAAGCACCTTTTACTGTTGTTTAAGCAGATTGATCGTTTGGAGGAGAAACGGGAGCGTTGCCAGGACAACCTGGGGCGGGCGGAATTTAGGAGCAGGAAGGGGGGGCTCTCCGAGGAAGAAAGGTGAGTGGTGGAGTTGGGGGGGGGGGGGGGGGGGGGGGGGTCAGAGATGAAAAGTATAATTTTATTTCGATATAAAGAACAAGTCAGTTGTTTCTAAAGCCACACCTTTCTGATCATTTGTTTAAATGATCTGCTATATTCATTTGTGTCGACTTAGGTGGGTTTTGTGTCTGATTTGTTTATAAGTGATAAAACTGATTTTCCATTTTAAATGATCACCAGGAAATCCTGTTTCTCTCTGTGTTCCATAGACAAGAGCTTGAAAAGGAAATGGCAGTTATAACCAAGAGAGTACAAAGGCTGGGTGAGTTGTTCTGAGCCCCATCGCTGTACATCTTAATGCTTTTGAGTTTTCATTAAGAGTTTTCAAGATCGATTCAAAACAGATCAACACCAAAGAAATCACGCCGAATAGAAAAGAATGTCCGCTAAACCTGACAACGATCCTGACCCGCTGCTGTTTCGTCTCTAGACAAAGAGCTGCAGCAGTTAAGAGGTGAAAACAGAAAGAACATGTTGGTGTCCGTCGCTCTGTTTGCCATCAGCGCCCTCTTCTACTACTTGTTTTTCTACAATGAGGCCGACACATGAAACTGTCCAGGATCTCAGAGGACCATCTGAATTTTAATAAACCCAACACACCTTATTATGGGATGACCATCTGGAATATTGACAGAGACTTTAGTGGATGAACCGCCTAAGTTTTTCCTTCAGATGGCAGCATCTTAGCTCATTTGGATGGATGAATCTATGCAGCCAGAACCCACAACAGCTCCATCCACTGCCTTACTGGATCCTCCACCATGAAACACAATGTTTTTGCTGTTCATTAGCATTTTACTGTTAAAAATTGAGAATTTAAACTGACCTTGGCCATAAAAAAATGTTTACAATTAAATAAGCCAACTGGATGTATAATTTGCCTTCTGAAAGGCAGCTGATATTTACAAAACACCACGACTATTGCTGCTTTCTCATCATGTGTAAAGGAATAAATGACAAACTTGACATTTGATGCAATCGATTGTTTTCACTTTTTGTCAGCTTTAAAGAATGGTGTGTGTGTGTGTACGCAAGAGCTTGCTGAAAAATATGCCAAACAGACTAACAGAAGTCTAATTTTAAACAAGAGGGTTTTCAGTTGGATGTCTCTGAAATAATTAAGTTTTAAAATACACTCAACGGTATAAACGAAGGGATGAGAGTTTTTGAGTGGTGATGACAGGAATGTTTTAGTATGTTTTAGTATCTAGTGGACGGCTGCTTATACAGAGCCAGGTGCTTCTGGAGGCTTCTTCCTGTTAAGAGTTTTCCTCTCCACTGTTGCTACATGCTTGCATAGGATGGGGATGACTCACGCTAGTCAGTGACTCGATACATTCTGCCGGGTTTCTTATAAGGAAACTTTGTACTAATTGACATATTGAACTGAACTGGTTGTGATTTGGTGCTATAGAAACAAACTGAACTGAATCTTTTAAGAATATAATGACATTTGTGTCATTAATTCTTAGCATGATGCTTGTAACATGCCACCAAAAGGCCAGAACCACTTTAAATGGTAGATTATGTGTATTTGTAAAGCACCTTCGGAGGGTTCTACAACCCCCCAAGGCGCTTCACAACACAATAAGTAATCCACCCATCCACACGCTGGTGGGGAAGATCTATGATGTAGCTGCAGCTGCCCTGGGGCTCGCTGACAGGGGAGGTCTGCCAGGTCCCTCCAACCACCACCAGCTGGCAAGACGGGTTAAGTGTCTTGCCCATGGACACAACAGCAGCATTCTGTGGTCAGAGACTTACTGGACAACCCTCTCTAATTCCTGAGCTGCTGCTGTCTCAGACGTTGGCCAGTATTCTGGATTAGCCGTGTTTCTTTCCAGGAGTTTTCGGTGGCGTTTACTTGTTTTTAGGATCAATTTAATTAGTGTTTTTTCACCGTTATGGTAAACGAGACGTAATAACAGAATCAAAACATTTACTCAGATTTGTGATTTTTTTTTCTTCACTGTGTTGGGAAATGTTAGCGTAGCCTCCCTCCTACACCCTCGTTTAACTCAGACTCATCTCCACACAGTCCCACAAAACAAACGCATTGTGCAGCACTTCTTACCTATGAGATTTTACTTACCTGTAGAGGTTCAGTTAGAAGTGTTCATTGGAAGTTTTGCAATTAAAATTAAGAAAATTCTTAATAATTCACCAGAAAAATGAAAACTTGTTTTCTGCTCAGTCGGAGCCTGACCTCATGCTCTTTTATGACTCACGATACACCGAGCCTGAAGCCTCACGAAAGGACAGAACTTAATAAATATAATTTAAAAAAGATCCATCTGAGCACCAAAATGCCAGATGTCACTTTGAATGCTTTGTTTCTTTGAACAGAAGAACATTGGAGCTTTCAGGTCATTATGTAAGTTCAGTTCACTCAAGGCAGATGGGCAAATGAAAGTTTATGCCAGTTTCACCTTAATTGGTTTGATATTCTCTGCTGAGCTTGATGCGCTCACCTCCCTGCTTCATCTGTGCTAATGAGGATGATGTTCTGGAGCTGAAACAAAAGGCAAAGCTCTAAAATCACTGGTCTGCTGACGTTCTGACCCTCACCTTCATCTGGATCATGACCCAAAAGAAGCTGACCCTGAGCTGGAGACAACAAACGATTAAACTGATGCATTTTTTCTAACAAAAGCAGCTCTTTTTTCCCCTTGAAACCATGACGACAGCTTTCCACACTCACATAAACCACTTTTACCCAAATACTCTCCACTTTAATCAGGAAATCTCGCCCTGAGGAACAAGAAAAGCACCCGAGGCTCATTTCTTACAAATTAGTCGATTTAAAAAAATGCAGGTAGGAGCATTTCAGTCATCGCGACCGCAGAATCGTGTAAGTTGTATTCATGAGCGTGTCAGGCCGGTCGCGGCTGAATGTGTCCTCCACGCATCATTTCTGCATTGCTCATCAACGCTTTAGCAAGAGAGGGCATGAAACCCTCTTCTGAGAGAAGATGAGCAGAGTTGAGAAAATTGAGGAGGAGAGAAGGTGATGGGTATTCTTCATGACGAGGCGCAGAGATGCCTGGAAGGGGTGAATCTCTCAGGTCATGCTGCTTTTTAACGTCCTAACTTAAAGGGTTACGGACCGTGAGGAAGAGGAGATGAGTTGACGAGGTAGGCTGGTAAAAACGAGAGCTGGACTCAAACAGCTTCTTGATCCGTCCTCTTAGCCTTTTCATCCCCCTGCAGGTTGGAATGACCTCTTTTACACAGGAAATGATTAAAGCCATTTCATTCGGCGTGCCACATTTTCTCCTCACCTTAGTTAATATGAAGAGCGAGCGGAAATCTGCTTTATTTAACAGCGTAAGTGTGGAAATGGACTTCGAATAGGTATTTAGATGGGATATTGGTTTGCGCTTTGACTTTTCCCCAAGATTTTTCACATAAGGATTTTATGCTCTTCCATTGTTTGTCTGTAGAAAACATCTTTAGTTTTTACCTGCAACAAGTGATTATTTACAGCCTTATGTAGAATATGCACTGCAGAAACTGATTTCTAAAGCCCCTTTCACATCAGCTCTGCATGGTCTGGATAGCACAGTGAGTTTCTTCATTAGCATAGCCTGTTGCATCAGGGTGCAACCGGACTGTTTTTCAGCCCTCTTCCTGAGGTGGTCTGCTTCAGGCTGACCAGGGCCAACACACCCACTGCTGACTAATAAGCCAGCTCTATAATTCAAACCTTCCTTTGGGGAAGCCTCTGACTGGTGGGTAGAATCAGCCTTCCTGGGCATACAGCATTATCATGCTGATTACCTAGGAGCTGAGAACTTCTCTCACTGCATTCCTAAGCAAGAATGTGTGGAATCAACTGAGAATTTTTTCTTTTATATTTCTGCTTATAATTTGTCACTCTTGAGGTTTTCATGCAGGCTGAACAGGGATTTCTCAGCTTTAAGATAATCTATTATTGCAGAATTATGCATTTATAGATGCTTTGATCACATGTTGATAAGAATAATCTAGTGCAACTTTGCAGGATCTAGGTGTGATTCTAAGCTACTACCAGCTGCGACTCAGGCCCTGTCCACACGTAGCCGGGGATCTGCCAAAACGTAGATATTTTTCTACGTTTTGGCCATAGACTGTACATTTTGGCCTGTCATCCACACGAAAACGGAGTTTTTTCACACGAAAACGGATCTTTTTAAAAACTCCGGCCAAAGTGAAGATCTGCGTTTTCTCCGTTTTGGGTGTCTGCGTGTGGACAGACAAAACCGGAGTTTTAAGGTCCGCAACGTCACTTTCCGCGACAGAAAATGCTGACATCACGTGTGCGACCTGTGTTTACACTAGCCGACATCATGGAAGCCCTCAGAGCTGCGCTCGCTTTATCAATTGTCCAAGCACTTTTTGCTTGTTTGTTTTTGCAAGCGGAATTACTGCTCCTTGCAGAAGACCACAGACGAAGGACGAGGTTAGGAACGGGGGAAGTACTGCCGCCTACAGGTCTGGCATGTCCTTAACAACGTATTTATCCGGGTACTTGTGGACAGTGTTTTTTTTTAAACGAGGTGGTGTGGATGCAAGTTTTTGGAGGGGAAGATATTCGTTTTTTTAAAAACCGGCTACGTGTGGACTAGGCCTCAGTGTCAATAAAATGACCATAAATAAATCTGGACACCAATTGAGGTGGTGCTGCTAAATATTTTGAGTGAATGTCACCAAATGAATTTTGCAATCAGAGCTGGATTCGTTTGAGGATCTATTTATTTAAATTTTAAATATTATACTATTAAAAAATAAAGCTTCATTCAAACATGACATATTTAGTCATCTGGGACCAGATACCAGCTGGGCGAGCAAAGAGTTAACACGACTCTGGGAAGGAAGGAAGTAAAAAAAGTACTGCAAAATAAAACAGGAAACAATGCTACCTAGAAGTGATGTCACAATAAAACAGGCAGGATACCAGATCATGGTAGATAAAAAATAATAATATTAAATGAAAAGATAAATCAGTCTAAAAAGTACCAATTTATCAAAACCTTTGAAAACTGAAAAATAAATGAAAACAACTAAAGATTATGCTGCTTATTGATGCGTGGATGTCAATTTAAGCATTCCTCCTGAAAAAAACAGTCAAAGAGGACAGTTTGCTCTATTATATGCAATTTAAAGTCTAAACTCTAAACTCTAAAGTCTAGACTCTCGGTACAGCCGGGTACCAAGAGTCTTGGATTCAGCCAGTGTACGGCGGAGCGTCCACAACGCTTATTAAGATCATCAAACCTTAAAAAATGTCCCTCTCTCTTAGTCACCACATCACCAAGTGTTTTTCTAAGAACACAGAGGGAAAGGGACTTTATGGCTTCACACACACACACACACACACACACGCACGCACACTCACACACACACGCATGCACACTCACACACACACACACACACTGGTCTAGCATTCGTTGTGAGGACCGTCATTGTAGTTACTGGATTGTGCCTATGATGAATGATAAATGACCCGCACTTGTATAGTGCCTTTCAGAGTAAGGACTCCAAAGCGCTTTACACTACAGTGTATCATTCATCCATTCACACGCTGATGATGATGAGCTCCGATGTAGCCACAGCTGCCCTAGGGCACACTGACAGAGACGAGGCTGCCGAGCACAGGTGCCACCGGTCCCTCAGACCACCACCAGCAGGCAACGTGGGTTAAGTGTCTTGCCCAAGGACACAACGGCAGAATTCTCTGTCCGGAGTTGGGATCGAACCTGCAACCTTCCGATTACTGGACAACCCGCTCAACCTGTTGAGCTACTGCTGCCCCCAGCTACCCTAACCAGTCCTATTCCTAACCTTAACAAAAACTTAATTCACACCTAAACTCTAAAACCAACAAGTGGAGATCTGTAAAGTGAGACCAGCAAAACATCCTCAATTTGCAGGTAAAAAGCTTGTCATTGGTCCTCACTTTGATGTAAAGACGGGTGCACGCACGCACGCACGCACACACACACACACACACACACACCTGGTAAACAGGAGCAACATTAAATCTGCTTTGCAATAAAAGCTTTTGTGATGTGAATGAGTGTGGTAGTGTGTTGCTCATGTCGTTGGGACCTAAATTTGTTTACACAGTCGCATTTAGGCGACTTGTCATCTTTTTTGGGTACAAAAAGCACATCCCCGTAATGAAAAGTGCTGGATTTTGAGGTGACACACGTTTCACGGGAAGTTTGGGGATAAATTAGAGAAAGTACAGAAATTCCCTCCAATGGCACAAGAACAAAAACCGTGTGTGTGTGTGTGTGTGTGTGTGTGTGTGTGTGTGTGTGTGTGTGTGTGTTCTTTTCCTGTATCTCTCCTATCTCTAACTACCCAGTGAGATCACCTTCATGTGAATATGAAGCAGGAGTAAAAACCACCTGTTTGTAACACCAAAGCAGTTTCCATCAAACTAATGGAGAAGTCAGTAATAGTTATGTTCCTATGGAGAGCACTGGCTACTGCACTGTAATTAATGTTATTAATGAGGGAATCATTTGACTGTGTACTTTAGTAATTGCTCAAAGGGCTGCGTAGGTCTCGGCCGATCAAGCGTTACATAATTCAGGGCGTCTACCAGCCTCTGCTCGCTCTTATAGATGCAATATTAAAAAGGAGGGCTAAGGGTGAGTTTCACGGTCATTAACATTAATCTCTGCATTTGAGAAGAGATGACAACTGATGAATGCTTTACAGGACTTTTGCTACTAGAAATAAAACACTAAACTGTAAATCTGCAGAAACTGGGATTTAAAAGTACACTAATAATTCCACACAAATATTTTGGGAGAACATTTGAAGGAAAGAATGAGTTGTAAATAAATTGTTTACTGATTGAGCTTTCTAATCTTGTGAACGGGACTGAAATACTTAGAAATTAGACGTTTCAACCGTCGGGTGTAAGATTTAATTTCACTTTTTTTTTCTTCTTTTTTACTTGCTTAATTTTCTCACCTATGTATTGCATTTAAAAAAGTTTTTACTCATCCAAGTTTTACAAACTTAAAACTTTTTAAACTTTATAAACACGCTTCACAATTCTTCACTGATAATGTCACTAAAGTTGTGTCTTTTTGTATTGTTGGCAATGAAAAAAAGTATCACATATTGTTGACCAAAAAAACTTTACATTTTTACTTTTTACAACCTTTTAACAGATAAATGTAACTCAGTTTCTACTTTAGACAAACCTTATTTCAGCTCTGAATCAGGCTGGCAGCAAACATTCTCCACACAGCAGCAACCTTTAAGAAAAATGCAACAAGACGGTCAAATGAAACCAAATAGGACAACTATCACCATTAATGATGTGATTTTACCTGCATGGATGCCTCACATAAGTCAGTTTATTGCCATTAATAAAAGTACATGACATGTCCACTGGAATTTCCCAATAGTTAGCTTTAGCTCACGTGGTTTCACATTCATTTTTGTTATCGGGACGTGGAACCACTAAAGCCAGTTAATGAATCACAGAGAGCGTGTTGATCTCAGTCTGAGGCAACTGGAACCAGAACTTCTCCCAAGTCAGTATGATTTATTTATTTATTGTGATATTTGTTTCAATTTGCCTTTTTCCTCCCTGATAAACACATAATAACTGAGTGGCACTGAAGTGGAGGAGTTCCTGGGAAATAGATGATGTCTTTTTTGACAGTCTCTCTAAATATTTACATTTTATGGATAAAAACCACACAGCTGCTATGATGACTTCATGTATAGAAAACTGGTTTTTGCCTGATTTGTTGTTAGGTAACATCTGTTAAGTTGGGGGGAAGAAGAAAAAAAAAGCAGGTTAAGCAAACAGCTCTGGCCTCAGTGTGCGGTCCATTAGAGAGCTGCAGCGCCCATCACCTTTATCCCACTTTGTGCTCAGCCGTGAGCCGACTGAAGGCAGTTCCGGCACTTACAGATCACAGCGAAGGAGCGTGCACGGCGACTCTTTTGGTCTGATATGAAAGTGGGACGCCGGTATCCATCAGAGGCTGAGCAAGAGCTGCCAAAGTGAAAAACTGTTTGGAAGCAATCATGGAAAGTGCTGACCTGAAGGACACGCTAACAGGGAGCACCAACAGAAAATGGCAGTGAACTGAAACAAAACCAACTAAATAAGCACTCATAACAACAGAAACATCTAGAGACACACGTCTGAACAGTTTGAGCATCAAAGCATGATCTAGTCTCCTGGTGTCCAGCAGCATCCCGGCTCCTTTTTGGCAGCTTGATGCCAGCTGCTACCTGTTCAAACAGCCTAGCAGATAATCAACCGCAGACTCTTTACAGAACAGGCAGAGAGGAGAGATTGGGCTTATTATCCTTCCCGGTCTTGCTTTGTCACACACACATCCACGTGCCGGCAGCTACTTTGGCGATGAGTCATAACTGGAGACGTTGGTAAGATGAGAAGGGTTAAGGCAGCGGGCTCTCGTGCGCCGCTTTCTGGATCACTTCTTACAAATCCTACATGCTAAAGCAGATCACTTGTTGGATGTTTTCACGTTTCTGGTAGCCATGTCTGTCTCCAGTCACATGACACGGTCTGAGCAAACAAGATTTAATTTCCCTCTGGGATAAATAAAGTATCTTTGAATTGAATTGAAACGTGTCTGGGTGTAAATGGATGCTATTTTTCCAAAGTGACGTACTTGTTTTGTCAAAGTGCCATTAGTCTCTTCAAACAGACCCACCTGGACTCTGATGGAAGACGGACTGACACGAGGGGAAGTGGAAGTGGATCAAGAACAAACAACTTGAGGTGAAGCAAATCCTTTTAAAAAAAACACTAGAATTCAACAGGTTGACTTAATGCCTTTATTTCTCTGATGCAAAATGGACATCAAGGACATAAGTAGAAAATAATGGCACACTTTACACACATTTCAAACATTTAAACACATTAAAGGTTGTACAATACTGCTTTGGCGTTTTAAAAACATTTAGTAAAGTGCAAGTTTTATTTTCCATTCTTTTTTTTCTTCTTTTCAGTACATTCACAGGTTTGTCGTCTTTTTTATATAAATAAAATCAGAATTCTTGTTCACAGCGTTTCGCCCTAAGTTGTGTTGAGACACATTAAAGTGCAGCATGCTCCCGATTGTCAGTGTTTGTCTTTTTGCTCTGTCTCGTCACATCCACACATTTATAACACACACACGTAAAGGAGCACCGTTTTAGACCTCACTCGGGGACCTGGACCTGTAGGCCACGTTGGTCTGAAAGCAGCCACAGAGGAGCATGTAGATGGAGCGCTGGATCTCTGTGTTTCTGTAGGCGTAGATGATGGGGTTGATCATGGAGTTGTAGGTGGCTGGCAGCAGTGTAGCGTACGTGTACACAGATGGGTATTCCCTCTCACCCACCAGACAGTAGATGGCAAAGGGAAGCCAGCTGGCACCAAAAGTCCCCAAGATGATGGCTAAAGTAGACACCCCTTTCTTTGTGGCCACATAATGGGATGTGGCAAAAAAGTGCTGCTGGAGGGCGATCTGGTGGGCGTGGCGGCACACGATTTTACAGATCTTAAAGTAAAGGGTCAGCATGAGCACAAAGATGACAAAGAAAGAGGTGGCTAGGAGCATGACATTGCTCCGGGTCAAAGGGCGGACGATGCTGCAGGAGGCTGGATCGTGGAGGCAGTTCCAGCCGAGAACCGGCAGCAAGCCCAGCAGCAGAGACACCCCCCAGGTCCCAATTAGCATGAGGTGCACATACTGCTGTGTCTTCTCTGAGAAGTACGTCAGAGCATTGTAGATGGAGAAGTAGCGGTCGACAGTGATAGCTAACAAGCTGCTGATTGATGCAGTGAAGGACGCCACCAGAAATCCCACTGTGATGAGACTGATGGTCTCCGAGGAGATGACGTACTGGAAAACAAAGTTCAGGATTAATCCCATGCCGGCCAGCAGGTCTGCTGTGGCCAGGCTCCCAATCAGCACAAACATGGGAGTCCTTAGAGTGGGCGTGTAGAAGATGATCGCTACCACTATGGCATTCTCACAGGCAATAATGGTGCCTGACATACACAGCATGATGTCCCACGGGTTGACTGGGAATTCTAACGGAGCGGTGGAGAATTCCAAGCTGCTGTTTGGGTCCAACGACTCAGCCTCCATCCACGGGAGAGATTCTCCAGTCACAGGAGTTGCAGACGAGTCGTTCACCACCAACGACTCGTTCATAGCTTTGCTTTCTGTCCTGGAAAAAGGAAACAAACATTCAAGTCCCCATACCTTATTTAGGCATGCACTGAATAATACTCTGACTAATACTAATACAACTACTACTAAAAATAATAAAATATAAACACTATTTCAGTATTAGTAAATTTAAATGAAAAAAAAATCCTAATAATACACTTTTTCCACATTAGATTTGAAAATGGCTGATTTTGAGTATGTTTACACTTCCTTATAAGCCTGAACTGACTTGTTTAAAAAAATAATGCAATACTCACAAATTCCTCATCAATAATAAACACAAAATGCTACAACTTTATCTAAACCAGTAAAATTTAAAAAAATATTTTACACCGACACCGTTGTGAGGGTTTGAATGTATCAAAATCCACTTTTTAAGAGACAAATCGAGCTGACAGCATCAAAATTAAATCTATAAATCTATCAAACTAAAGAGTGCAAAATTTATGTTTTGTTTTTATAATTTCTTAGAGGGAAACAAGTGGAAAAAAGACAATAAAACTTTCTTTAAAACTCGGTTTTTGAGGTAATTTCCCCCCTTTTTAAAAAGTGTCACTAGCACCAAAGGAGCTGTCCGTGGTCCTGAAATAGCAGGACAATTATTTAGCTGAATTCACGTGTTGCTCCCATCTGTCCTTTCTAAAGCTAAGATGGTGTTTCTGCTGTATATTTTACATGATGTGCAGGATCTCAGCTGATTTCTGAAAGGTTTAGAGAATGCTCACCTCCGTGACAAAATGATGTGAAATGAAACTTCCGTTGAACGCAGAGACCCTCACTCTGATGGAGAATGTGGGCATCAAAGCGATAAATAAGGACACAGTGCTGTTTTCCTCCTCGCCAAGCTCCTTTAGTCCTTTTTTTCTTCTCCAAGTGAAGCCCTTAGCTGTGTTGTGCTTCCCAGGCATGGGACACGCACCCAGGGCAAGAGTGGCGTGAAGCATTGGCTGATGCTCAGCTCGATGTGAGCAGGAGGAGGAGGAGGAGAGGAGCGACAGACACGCGACAAGAGCTTTAAACCCATGTAACGTCATGGTAGAGAAGAGAGGGGAGGGAGGAAGAGTTGTCTTTAGTCTCCCCCGAATCAGACAAAAAGAAAGCTGAAGATCTCAGGGGGACGTCCTCAAAACAAGCTCCATTTGTATGGGGCACCGTTTGTATAACTATACATCACAAAATACCACATTCAGTTTTTAAATTGTATTTTGAATTTTTTATCTAAATCTAAACATATAAATTATATATAAAATTGTTAACATATTTAGAGAATATAGAAATGTTCATATAAATGCAAACATTATGCAATCATGCAGATTCAGACTGCCATAAAACAGAGGCAGAAGTATATAACACCTTAGAGTATGTTGAATGGATGTGGGTCTATGTAAGCCCATGAAGGGGAGAACCCAAACAGGAATATGGATAAAAAAATAAAAACTTCCAACCTTATCTTCAATGGCACTCTATGACATTAGATAGGGGATCTCTTCACCCTGCCGTTTTTCTGACACACTACATATTTTATATTTGCGTGTTAGCTAAATATTTAATTTTGAACGGTCACGTTTATAGTTAAGTTTTTGGTTTTAATTTTTGTTCAGAAAATTTAAATTTAGTTTCAAATCTAAATGTTTATTTTGAATATCTTTATTTGGATTTCGACAATTAGAAAACACAAAATCCGAACATAACTGCTCATTTCTTGATGTATTATCCGAGTTCACATTCTGACACTTTAGTAAAACAGCCTCCTCTATTGCAAATAAGTCCAAATTAGAGAAGCAATTATCTTTGTTACATTATTTTCCATTTGGTATAATAATCAATCAAATGCTTGAAAATTATCCTCTGCCAAAGGGTGGTTAATTACACACACACAAACACACACACACGCACATATATTTATGTGTGTGTGTGTGTATGTATATATGTATGTATGTATATACATACATATACATATATATATATATATACATACATATACATATATATATATATATATATATATATATATATATATATATATATATATATATATATATATATATATATATACACATATACATGTTTATATATATACATGTATATTTACACATATATACATATATATGCATATATATACATACATATATATATATATATATACATATATATATATATACATACATATATATATATATATATATATATATATATGTATATATATGCATATATATGTATATATACATATATATATATATGTATATATGCATATATATATATATATATATATATATATATATATATATGCAAATATATGTATATATGCAAATATATGTATATATGCATATATATGTATATATACATATATATATATATATATATATATGTATATGCATGTATATATATGTATATGCATGTATATATATATATATATATATATATATATGTATATGCATGTATATATATGTATATGCATGTATATATATGTATATGCATGTATATATATATATATATATATATATATATATATATATATATATATATATATACATACATACATACGCACACCATTTACAATTTTTTTTATGTGCTTCTATGACTTATCAAGTATCTCACGAACCAGTGGTAAGATCTTTTTGTCATCTTTAACTGATTAACTTTGAAAATTGAACCTAAATCAAGATGGCTGCCACAGTTACCGTAAATCCTCTAATACAGGCCCGGGCCTGTATTTGACTCAAGCTCATCAAGCTCCAGGCCTTTATTGGAAGGAGGACCAGAATTAGAGGCAGGCCTCTATTTCTATTTGAGCAAAATGAACTAATGGTTCGCTGGAGTTTTTGACAATTAAAATTGCGCCCACATTTTCTAAGTTAAACACATTTCTTTTAACAAAGGTAGTTACTGCTTCAGCCATCTCCCCCCTCCCCTGCGCAGCGGCCGCAAACTCACTGATGCGCCTGCATTCTCTCAGAGTTCCTGCTGCTCTAAACATTAAAATAATTATTTCATTTTCTGTTCCTCACTTCTGATTACCTTCAATGGTGTCTGTTTGTTGCAACCACCAGGTACAAAAACTAACTTGTTTTTATTTGACTATTTTTCTGTCCTGTCTGTTTATTATCTTCCTGCATCTCCTCTCAATCCTTAAGAGAAACTGCTACCTGGGTTCAGATATATTCACCTCATGAGTTACCTTTAAACTGCAGTTCTAAAAGATCTACCGACCGCAAAAACAGCGGAGTGCTCGGTGTTTGGCGGCCGCATCAGTGATCGGTGCGTCACCGGAGGACAAGGTGATGCGCCCTGCTCCACAGCAGCGAAACGCATCAGGCGCAAATAAAAGACGGAAAACATAAAAGGAAATGAGCAGACATGAAAGATCACGTGTTAAATTAGTTTTTGAGGTGGCGACACCTGATTTGATAATGTTACTGCGGCCGTGCTCAGGACGCAGATCTACCGACCGCAGAAACAGCGGAGTGCTCGGTGTTTGGCGGCCGCATCAGTGATCGGTGCGTCACCGGAGGACAAGGTGATGCGCCCCGCTCCACAGCAGTGAAACGCATCAGGCGCAAATAAAAGACAGAAAACATTAAAGGAAATGAGCCGACATGAACGATCACTTGTCAGTACCGACGCTCTGGCACAGCGCGTTGCTCCCCGACGCGCAGGAGCTTGTCAGCAGGCTGCTGTCTTTTCCGAGGGCTGCATCTTGCCGGTCATTATCACGTGACAGCGACTAGTCGATGACAGGCATAAAAAGTCACTATAGTGAAGTCGACTAGTTCATACAACCCCTGCTACTGCTCCCCAGAGTGTTCTGCAGCATAATCAGCATGTTCTCTTTGAACTTGATATCAAATTTTCGCCTCCTCTTCGTCTCCGCACGGTTAAAGTTACCCTCGCGGTCTATCACTGGCAAATCAAAAGTGAGAGATGACACAACCGCCCCCCGTATTTGCTTGTTACCACATTCCACCCGGCCACAATAAAATACCGGCCATTATTCACCTCCGCCGACTCCGACACCGGCCAAAATATGATACCCGGCCGTTAATTTAATACAGGCCAATATTAGAGGATTTACGGTACTTAACAAAGACAAAAAATGTTAGAATGCATTCATTTTTACAGATATTGAGCTGAGATTTAACATGGTAATAGCAGAGAAAAAATCACTTCAGATACTCTGAGCATGACATTTGTATCAATTATTCTTAAGTTCTGCATGAAAATACTAACATGTAATAGTTAATTTGAAAGTTCTGGCATGAGAAGGCTTAGCTTGTCTATTTTTTAGAAAATTGTTTTATTTACTCTCTTTTGCCTGCAAAATAACCAATAAAATCCTTAAATTTTTTATGCAAATGTGTCTTGTCCTGTGACTAACTCTCATAAGTCAAATCATGAGGTGAAATATTCCGCACAGATATATGGAATACTCCTACATTTTTGTATTTTGCGAAGTTGTTTGATATTTGTCTGTTTTTGGTTTCTATTAAGTGTACCAGGATTTTGGGACGTTTTAATTTCAAATTGAATATCTGAAGTAATAGATGAGATACTCGAGCAGCAAAGCAATATGGTAACCAGTTCTGGTTTCCAGGCAACAGTTGTTTGGTCGCCCTTTGTCAGCAGATGCGATGTCCTTCTTGTCCTTATTTATAAGTGAAGCAATAACATGAAGTGTTAGTAACTCCTATCAAATGGGTCGACCAGTGATCAGGATAAAAATAAACAGCATCTGTCATTGTGATTTTCTATCTGTGGCTGTAATTAACTGAAATGCCACAAACCAGGTTGAACCAAATATTCAGCCTTTCTATTTTTTAGAGGACCACCTGTAACGAGCTGCTCGAAAATCTCAGAAGCTGAATGCATTTATTCACCCACATCCATGTGTGGCAAGAGGTTTCAGTGTAATGAGACATCTGCCATTAGGTACACAAAAACAAAACAAAAAAACAGGGCTTCACGTGAAAAGCCCTCCTTTCCTTCAAAACAGGCCCCTTTTAGGAGGCGGCGCCCCCCAGCCCCCAACACAACCGTCTCCAAACACCTGTCCACACGCTTGTACACAAACAGCAGGCAGGGGGTGCAGTGGCTCACCTCTCACTTGGTAACACTAAGATATAGTGAAATTAAACTAGAACGGCTGAGAAAAGGTCATCAACAGTCAAGATAATTCACATAATTACACATTTTTTTAAAGCTTTTCCTTGAAGGCTGGAAGCAGCAAAAACCTGATTTGTCCACAAAATGCTTCAGTTCTTCCAAGAAAACCTGCTGTAACAATCCCAGGATCCCCCCCCCCCCCCCCACACACACACACACACACACACACCACTGTCACTTAGAACATGAGTGGAGCCGTCTCAAGTGCAGTCACATAATTGGATGAATGTGTCCGAGCAACTGTTTTGTAGCAGCTTCTCAGCAGATGTCATAATGACCTCGGTTTTATGGTAAATAGCTCGGTTAAAAGCTTCGTTACCGTCTCATTAAAATGGGATGAAGTGTCGGGCCCTAGGATGCAGTTACAAACACGTGTTAATGAAATGATGTAAAAATAGATCTTATTTAAAAAATAAAAAATGTGATCAATCACTTTTCTAGTGATGGGAGGTTAGGAAACATTTACAATCAATCACTACTTCTGTGCTTTAACATTAAATAAATAGGTAAGTATATGACTGGGTTATCTATCAAGGACAAGCTCAGTCATCCTCAAAGGAATTACTTAAATCAGGACAACAAAGTTGCCTAAAAAATAAGATGAATTATTAAAAGAAAACAAGTTGCAATATCACAAGATCAGGAGTAAATAACTGATTCTCTTGGTTTTCTCTAAACAATTAGATAATTATCTGGAGAACTTGGGAGTGTTGTTCAGCGCAAAATCGATAGGCGGCTTGGTGATGTGGGTGTTGTACCGATTTGTCGTGGTGAAGACAGAGCTGGAAGGCAACACTCTCGATTTACCGGTTGATCTACGTTCCAACCCTCACCTATAGTCACGAGCTTTGGGTAGTGACCCAAAGATGCAGGGTGTCTGGGCTCTCCCTTGGAAATAGGGTGAGAAGCTTGGTCATCCAGGAGGGGCTCAGAGTAGATCAGCTGCTGCTCCTCCACATTGAGAGAAGCCAGTTGAGGTGGCTCAGGCATTTCAATAGGATCTTTGGTACATTTTTGCTGTGTCTGATTTCTAATTCCATTTTTGGTTCTTTTTTAAAACACAGAAAAGGTTTCTCTTTACCTTGCTTGCTGACAGTTTCGTCACTTCCTACTCTGTTTATCCGTGGGCAGCGGAGGACGTTGTCGCCCTCTGCTGCCCGCTCTCCCCTCTCCAATGATGCAGTCCCATGCACGATTGTGGAGGGGAAAGCGGGCAGCAGAGGGCGACAACGCAGAGGGCGCTGCAGCGGATAAACCATAGGGATAAACGGAGTAGGAAGTGACGCCACCATCAGCGTCAGCTCTGAGGAAATTTGCTGCCGCGAACGAAACAGTCAGCAAGCAAGGTAAAGAGAAACCTTTTCTGTGTTTTAAAAAAGAACCAAAAATGGAATTTCATTAGGATGCCTCCTGATGCCTCCCTGGTGAAGTTTTCTGGGCACCTCCAACCTGGAGGAGACCCAAGAGAAGACCAGGAAACAGAGCGTGCACGAGGATAACTGAGCGTTATCTCTCATGTGCATCTTTTTTAAACATAGAGAGGGCAGTTCTTTCCTGAAAATCAGAAACATCCTTCGCCGTACCTTTAACTTGGGACTTTGAATAACTCCTTATCTCTACATAAACAATTCATGATCAAAATAAGGTTTCAATTACCGTAAATCCTCTAATATTGACCTGTATTCCATTACTGACCGGGTCTCCTACGTTAGCCGTTCTTGCTCTCAACAGGGGTAAACAAAGGCCGGTCTCTAACAGTGGCTGGCTTTATGGCACAAACCCAGCCGCAGGTTTGATAACTTCAAAGTACTATTATCTTGAAATGTTTTAATAAATAGCGTACTTACCTACTGTTAAAGAATTTGTCTCACAAAACACGACGGAAAGTCTGATCACGTATAAACAAGTCACTTCCTGCTTCCTGCTCTCAAGTCCTGCGTGATGTTGTCACTATCACGTAACTTTCCAAGAAGTGCTCAGCAGCGCAGCGTGTGCTGTGACCACTTAACTTCTCAAAATCGTGGGCGCGATGTGGCGCATCCGTCTCCAGTGTGCCCCAGGCTTTATTTACTTTGTTGACTGGGTGTAAAAATGCCCAAATTCCGTGCAATCAGGACAAAAACAAACGTTTATTTTTTTTTTCGTGTCCCGAAAGTAGTGCGCCACAAAGGACTTACTGAAACTTACTGAACAAAGACAGAATAGTATTTTCTCTTCAAGGCACTCGAGGAGTACAGACGCTTCTCTCTTTCGCTCCCTTATCTTTTTTTCCCAAGGCTCTTTGTCTTGTCTGCCCACAGAGCGCTTCTCTGCATTTCTTCTGAAAAACTATTTTTTACTAACCATAAATTTGATAAACTGGTCATTCAGCGCGATCGATAAGATTTTTTCAACAATGAGAACGGAGCAGGGGGCTCCCACATGTCCACAGGGGACACACCCGGTGGGATATATTTTGGATTCCTGGAAGGAGTGGAAGATCATATGCCTCAGCCAGCTGTCCATTGAGGACATTGAAGACGTGTGGATATTTGGTCTGATGATCACTGGATTTCTCCTGATTGAGAGTGGGAGGATATCTGGTTTTCTGGAAATTTGGAAAGACGGGAGCGATTGGAGGGCGACCCGCACCCACGGAAAGCACCGTCTGTGTGGAGACTTCTCAGACTGGGACGTTACTCGAGGTGAATCGTAAGCTGGACAATGTTCTAGCTGTGATACCGGTATTAGTGCGCAAAATGGATGTCATCTCGGAGAGGGTCACCGGACGGTATGGACAGGTTTAAAAACCCAAAATTGGCTTCACTGAAGGACTGGAATGATCAGTTTAAAGACTGAAGGCAGAGAGGAAAATTATCTCAGCCTGACCCAAACTAAGTCTTGTTATCTGAATCTGATGCCCTGGTAGCCTTGAGCTGCAAGCAACTAAAACCCCCACGAAGGAATGCAGACAGATGCTGTGAAAACCCGACCTACCCCCATCCCCGCCTTCAGATTGGTGGACTTCAGCCGGGTGAGGTCATCAAATGTAGGAGTTAATGTACAATGTACTCTTTGCTTCTCCCAAGATCTCCCTCCCACCTGTGACTGTACAGTAGATGAGCGCCGTAGATGGCTGCTCTCGCTGGGGGAAACAGGATCCCAGTCACCAATTCTTGTCATGTGTCTTGCCCATGTATGTCTGATCTCTGAATTGTGTGTACTGAAACTCTAATTTCCCTCTGGGATTAATAAAGTATCGATTGATTGATTGAATCATAATCTCCGGCTGCAAAATGAGCACAAACGGAACGGAAAATGCTACAGTCCGCAGTGATCCCTTCATCACAGGTAAGGGTTTACTAAAGGTTTTTATGGTGTTTTATTGAACAGCTTAGAAATGCAGCTACAAAAACAGCAGGTAAACAGTTTGGTACTGTTTTCACGTGTACTCACTGAAAAAAGCTTGTAGAGTGCTAATGTTTTTAGCAGTTAGCTCAGTGTTGTAACGTGGAACTGCGGAGGATGAGGATTTTGGAGGATTTTATTTTTTACTTCTAACCAAACAAGACTGGTTAAACTGGAGCGGTAAGGTGTCTGTTGCCTTTTGTTGTGAATCAATAACCTAATTATCACCAAGTGTTTACAATGCACTACCAGCATGTTTGCTAAGTTTGCTACCATACTGGGATTTAGCCTGAAACAACGGTGTTTGTTGTAAATGTTCTTTATGCATACGTACATACAATGTTAACTGTATATTTTCAGTAAACAAACCTAGTGTTTTATAGGTTCAAATAGACACAAAATTGTGTTTTTATTCATTCTACTGGTAGTTTATTTTGCTCAAATAGAAACTGAGGCCTGCCTCTAATTCTGGCCTCCTTCCAATAAAGGCCTGAACCTGGATGTGCTTGAGTAAATAAAAGCCCTGCCTTTATTAGAGGATTTACGGTATATACATTTTCTATTATATAAAAACATAGTATTAATGATATCCTGTTATCCCAGGACATCATTAATATTAATCTCTAAGCATGTCCTCTCTTGACTTTTAATTTTCATTCCAAAAGTTTGCACTGAAAATGTTTAAACAAGGAACCTTTAAAAAGCACCCAAACACTTCTGTGGGATTTGATCACATGACATTAAATAAACGTTGTTCAGCCCTTGTTTTTAACAAGCACATCGTGACCTCTCACCTCTGTTCAAACCCCAAAAAACAGGCCTTTATTCCTGTTTAGACAATTAAAAACAAAAGATGAAAAACATCCATCAAGTATTTGACAGCAAATCTAAATATTTTAGATGTTTCTCTGCAGTTTTAATTAGACCTTTATACACATTTGGGCGTCACAGAGGAGAAGTCGCTAGCACCATCAGCTCAGTGACAAAGGAGCTGTGAAAAACTTCAGGTTGTTGTGACGCAATCCAACTCTGTTGGTCTCACCAAAAGTAGGAAGCAACAATAAAGACGTGCAAGAGCCGCCTTCTGAGAGGCTCTTGTCACTTTAGGTGAAATATGTCATTACAGGACTCCAGACACCAGTGGTGTAATATTCACTGGTCACCATTATCCCAGTGGCTCTGAAGGGGTTGAGAATATAACATTTATTTCTTTAAATTCTCTTTTGGCATTAATAAAACAAAATATTTATTTTACGGAGCTGTTCATTGCCCAATTACCCGCTGCCCAGCTCTTCTCCCCGACGCTCATGCGGCACCAATGAAAAGTCCAGTTGATGATGACTGAAACCGTCTAACGGAGAACATTTCACATTTTCCAACACCTGGGATTAAAAGCTGAGGACAATAAGTGTGTGAAGAAAAAAGAGAAACTGTAAAGTGAGTCAGAAACGACGGGAAGTGGAATGATGGGTGGCAAAAGAAGAGGATGAGAGCTGAAGAGGCTGCATGATAGGACCGAGGTTTAAATACATTTACTTAAAGGTGTAGCAGACTGCTTACAGGAAACACCATAGCACCGTATTAATAAATAACTGTTTAATTTAATACAGCTCAGATCATTAACATCTTATGAATGTGTTTTTTACAAGAATAATAAAAAGCGTTGTACTTTGAAGTCCACAGAAACAATAAATCAACATAAAAAAAATAAAAAACAGACCAACAACATCAGATTTTTCTTTTTGGAATGATAAAAGGCTGGAAAAATAAATCAAGTAAAGTCCTAAATGATAACAATGGTCATTTAAATGTCACGGAGGACACATTTTGAGCCCAAGAACTTTGAAAAGTTCTTTGAAAATGTGGAAAGCTCATTTCCGAGTGAAATAAGACATAATACTAGCTCCGTATAAAATTTGATTCCAATATTTAGGATTCAAATTTGCTAAATCTGTACAACTGCCTTCAGAAGGCTGGAATTAAAATAAAAGAATAGGGACGAGCACCGTAAACGTAATCTTTTCAGTCATAAATAATAATAAAACATTTCAAAATAAACATTTTTGTATTAAATTAAATTATGCATCGTCCTTGGACTGTTTATTGAAATAACTTCTAAAAAAACAGGTTCTTTTTGCTGGATCGACAAAAAAAGTTCTTCTGAGTCTTAAAGTTGGAAACGGAAGCGGATGATTGCTTCACCGGGGATGCGCATCTCACATGTACCGGTTTTTGACGTACTCCCTGTACAGCAGCATGTCCTCCCTGCACAGCGCCCTCACCTGGCCCTGACCCGCCGTCACATGACTCTCGAACACGTCGCGACTATCCCGGTTCACGTGCGGAACAGAGACAGAGTAGATGCTATCCTCTGGGAAGCGTGAGACCGGGACCCTGGAAATGAAAGGAGAACGAAAACGATGAAGGAAATGTGAGACAGAGAAAATAAAAACATTTTCAAATGACTCACGGAGAAGAAAGAGCTACACCAAGTGCATTTTTGTTGAACCAAGGAGAAGAAATTTTTCTATATTTGCCACTAGACAAAAACCGAAGAGAGAAAACTATTTTCATCTGACTCACAAGCATGTGAAAAAGCTCAGCAGAAAGCACGCTGCTAATGGAAGAAACACGAGGATAGTGCAGACAGGTGCTCATAACAGCAGAATTACATGTTTTCTAAGAAGCTTATCACAACAGCGTGCCTCCTCGTCTTCAGCGTGGATTAACAACTGCATGCTTGTCAGATTGTCCAATATTCAGCTGCTTCGATGGATCAGAAATAACCTGCACTTCAGCTGCACCTCTTTGGAAAACAGCTGTTTGAAAGCCAAAGCAGATGCTCAGGCAGACTGGAGAAACCTCGAGGTAAACAAAGAGCTCAGATCCGAAAATATGGTGAAGATCTGATGACCTCCTGATGACCTCCAGATGAATCATGTAGCTGGTCGAAGGGGCGAAAACTCAAAGAACAACTGCGGAGCATACGTCTGCACCAAAATGTTACAAATAACAAAAAAGCAGGAAGCCATGTTGGCGTCTATAAAAATTAAATGTCACATGTCTACCCAGTGTGCTGTTTGAGGTGAAGGGGGTTATTACACTTAATGGTCCAATTTTTATTTTTGTTCTTTCAGCTGCTGTTAAAATAATTAGTTAAATTCAACGTGTGTGTGTGTGTGTGTGTGTGTGTGTGTGTGTGTGTGCGTGCGTGCGTGCGTGTGTGCATGATATGGTGGTGGTTGGCCTTTTCACTCAGCAAGTGTGAACGTTCTCCAGGTGCCACAGCACTAAGCCATGCATGTAGGATTCATTGATAAATGGATTAATAGTTATGGAAGACGAATGAGTGAGCACGCATCACGCGAGGTCCTTGATGCATGTAGACAAGATTAAAAATGATTAATAATTTCAACAACAACATGAGGTGTTGGTGCAGCTACTGTAATGCTAAGAGACCCAGGATATAAAATGTTAAAACTGCTGACTGTGACTCATCAAGGTCACCATGGTAACTGCACACATTTCTTAATTCCCGGTTTAGTGAGGCAGAAATGCACAAAGAATCAAAAGTAAGCTAGATTGCTCTAAAAAGGTATGTGAGCAGGTCACACACATGCACTTAAGATTTGAGGGAAACAAACAGTCCTGAAGCTGTGAGACAACTTATTAACTTGTTGTCTGCTCATTGGAAGATAAAACATTCTGTTGCTTATAAACAAATAAGGGAAACCTTTGATCTCAGAGATTATTCTCGACAAGAATTAGCCACAGTGTTCCTTTCACAGACATCATATATGTAGACGCCCTGTGGACTCGCACTGCCTATTGGAGCTGCCGTAGTGGCCCGCCGCCATCTTGAGTGGGTCTCCATTCGCCCCCAGTGTACATATTTCTACTGAGGAAGGTGATTACCAAACTATAAAGCACTTTTTCTTAGACGTGTGGTATGGCATGATAGTAAAAATAATAATAATAAATTTTTTTTTTATTTTATTTAATTTAAATTTATCCATCCATCCATTTTCTGAACCCGCTTTGTCCACGTGGGGTCGCGGGGAGTGCCTATCTCCAACGGTCAACGGGCAAACAAGCGGGGTACACCCTGGACAGAGAGCCAGTCCATCGCAGGGCAACACAGAGACACACAGGACAGACAATCATGCACACACACACCTAAGGACAATTTGGACAGACCAATCAACCTAACAGTCATGTTTTTGGATGGCGGGAAGAAGCCGGAGTACCCGGAGAGAACCCACGCATGCACAGGGAGAACATGCTAACTCCATGCAGAAAGATCCCAGGCTGGGAAGCGAACCCAGGACCGTCTTGCTACAAGGCAACAGCTCTAACCACTGCACCACTGCGCAGCCGTAGGCCAGAACAGTAATTAATACCACATGAGTATGCCGGTTGTTGCAACTGTAGGCTGTAAAAAAAAAAATAACAGTTGAGTTTGGAGAATGAGGAACCCATCCAATATGGAAGCAACGCCGTTACGCTCTCCAGCGCCCAATGGGGATTTGACATGTTCATATCTATGGTTCATATCCTTTCCACTTTATATCCATCGTTTGTCTCAGCTTTACCTCTTCCTTATGGACAAAAAAGGGCCTTCCCAGCAGGCAGGGGTTGGAATAAAGACTCTCTAACAGCAGCCACATGTTTGGGCTGCTGTAACACCTACAAATAGGACTATTGCATAACAACCAACACACCTATCGCCACGCGTGGACCAGCCTGACAGGAGCACTCTGGACTGATAGACTAAAATAAGACGTGCAAAATAAAAAAAAGGAAAACATTTCTAACAGGTTTCTTGTAAGCCTGCTGTAAACCGAACAACATGCATGTCGCAATGATGCTAAAAGCAGCCAAAGGGTCACAAAATGAGAAAGATCTTTAACATTTGTGTGTAATATATTATGTTGTATGATTATGCTGACAGGGTGCTCAAATATTTCTAATGAAATAATTCTACAGAGTAGAAACACCCTCCCAGTAAAAAAAAAAGACTATTCTTGCAAAGCGGTTGACTGTGAATGCTGTGTTCCCAACGTGCAGCACAGGAGGAAGGAATAGGCTGCTATGTGACTTTCTTTACCTCATTTCTGTAACAGGCCCCAGCGGCCGTAAAGTCTGTTTTTATGCTGCAACTAAACTCTTCCTGCCATATCTGATGTTTCAGTGGGAAACAGAACTCGGTTGCTGCTGTTGGTATGAGATCCTTCTGCGGCGCTGTTCTCCAGCCTGGGTGTTTGTTCAGAAGTGGGGCTGCAGCTTCTAGATCACATTTACAAAGCAACAAAACTTATATAAAAACTGAAACTTTTCTTTCACGACGCCGACTTGGATCTTACAGCGAATTAAACAATAAACACAGTAGAGCAATTATACAAATATACTTCCTTTTATGCAACTCCTCCAATGATCTGGATCAAATATGTCACAGAAAACTACAACGTCATAAAAGCCGGCATTGATTGATAAAATGGTTGATGTAATTGTTACATTTTCACAAGATATTTATTTCTTAATTATTCCCCCATTTAGTTATTTATTTCTGTTTTTTATTATTTAATATTAGCATTTGTTTTTTTTTACATTACTTTTTTCACATTATTAATTCATGAAATGAGCAAAAGATGAAAGCAGAGGGAAGGAAAAGTAAATAAAACAACTTAAGGGGAAAATTTTTGGATAATAGAGAAGTAATAAACCTTCAAACAAGAAAAAATGACAACTTAAATATATTTGAATAACCAAGACACAATAATGAAAAGTTTTTAAATAAATAAAATGAGAATTAAAAAGGAAATAAACATGTCTTCAATTTAAAAGCAATTAGATAAAAAATACATCACATGAAAACGCAACTAGAAATGAATGAATAAAATAAATAAACCATGATAATGACATTTGGACAAATGAATGCAGTTGATAATAAACAATTTTTGTCTTGATTTATGGATTGTAAATGGTATCACTGTTCACTCATCACTTCTGAATTTGGAAGTTCCCACTGAATTGTGAAATCTCTAAATTTATTCTATGTGTGTATGTCCACCTTGAAGCGTGTAAGAAAGATCATCATTCACAGCCACATGTTGTGATCACACGTGCGGTTGTGAACATGTACGCAGCAGAGGCGCCGCTGAAAAGGGTGAAGGCTGAACCGAGAGGGAAAGCAAAGCATGGGTGAAAACAAAAGACAAAAGAGCAGCTAGAAGACTGGAGGAAACCTTTTAAGAGTTGTTTTTCTCTCACAGCACCTTGAAAAACTAATGTTAAGTGGTATTTTGAAGGGGCAGAATGTGGCCACAACAAATATGCTTTCTAGCACATGTTGGGGAGGGGTGCTGAGGTACACGTGTTCAAATATGTAGTGACAAAAAAAGTATCAACTGGCTAGAATAGTAGAACAAATCCAACTTCACCATCTTCATCTGCTCCCATCTTTCAATAAATATTTTTAGACATCAAAGACTTTAAGACATAAAGCTTCTCACCCTGTCTCTGAGAGATAGGGTGAGAAGCTCGGTCATCCAGGAGGGGTAAACCTGCTGTTCCTCCACATCGAGAGGAGACAGTTGAGGTGGCTCTGGCATCTACAGTTAGGATGCCTCCTGGATGCTTTCCTGGGGAGGTTTTCCAGGCACGTTCAACCAGGAGAAGACCTAAAGGAAGGCCTGGGACACGCTGGAGGGACCATGTCTCATGGCTGGCCAGGGAACGCCTTAGGATTCCCCCAAATGAGCTGGCCCAAGTGGCTGAGGAGAGATAAATCTGGGCCTCACTGCTTAAGCTGCTGCCCCCGTGACCAAAGCCCGGATAAGTGACGATGGATGGATGGATGGATGGATGGATGGATGGATGGATGGATGGATAGATAGATGGATAGATAGACAGACAGACGGACAGATAGACAGAAAGATAGATGGATGGATGGATGGACAATAAAGCCAACCAAAAGGTGTTTTATGCAAATCTGCAACAAAAATCTATATTGGATAATAATTTGGGACAATTTAAAGGGATATTAAGCAGTTTTGGCTTGCTCTTAGCACCCCCTAGTGCTAATTAGTAAAAGCAAAAGTGAATTGTATCTCCTTCCTGTGCATTCATCTTTTTAACACCTTAATCTAACAGCTGAAATGTCTCCTCAGCCTTCATTAGTTTCTACTGAAGCAGTCCATCACTAAATTAAACAACTCAGCTTTGTTCATGATCTAAAACATGTAGGAAATCTGCTGGAAGCAGACTGCAGTGCTGGCATGTTAGCTCCATTTTACTAAATCCAACAGGGACTGGCCCGGCACTCTGAAGTTGCAAGTGCGGGGAGGTGGAGTCTGAGTGACACTTCATTAAACCTGTAAAGCTCAAACTGGCTCAAAAAATGATTTATAAATATGAAAAATTTGCTAAGTATGCCTTTTGAATAGTCTAAGAGACCAATTTCCTCGATTGCAGATAAAGGGACCATTTTTTTCTGATTGTTTGCTAATTAGTAGCCTAACTAACAAAGAAAAGACCTCTAAAAACAAGTTTTAAAAGTGCATTATTATCTTGATCCTGTTGTATTTTGATTGAAACACCAGACACATTACAACAGTACCACAGAAATTCTAGTAAACAGGGACATTATCGGTCTTTTTTCATGCTCCATGCATTTTACTCACAAGCTAATGATGTTGGCGAAGCTTATGTGTTCAGTTTTCTCCACTGTGTGCTGGTTCTCCCCAAGATGAGCAAACCTACAGAAATGAAAACGAAAAACAAACATCATTCATTCAAATAATCCAAAAGATGTAAACATTTTTTGAAGGAAATAGTGTCACAGACTCAGATCCAGAAGAATCTTTAATCTTCTGCTCCACATCGTGTTTATCATGCCTGCTGGGATCTCTAAATGTTCACATCTCATCATCATTACTCATCTAAATGTTCTGTTTAACATCCACATAGACACAAAGTACACCAGCTGAGCATTCTCCCTCCTGGTTTTCTTCTCGTCTCACTGACTAGAAGAGCTCTCTGGCTTTAGCAAACATCTCTGGAACTTCAGCTTTGATGACAAATGCAATTGCTTTCTTATTGCTTCAGTAGGGGGACATTAACATTATTCCTAACCCTGCTTCCATTACAGCTGTGGCTGCTATTAAAATCGATGAGGTAAAATTAAAATGTTGGCAAAACAAAAACTGAGGCGTATTCCTTTTCTTATTAGAATCAGCATCCTGATTGATTCAGCTTGGATTCATCCCAAAAAGCATCATCAGAAACCCCCTTGTTGTCACAGCCCATTTTTCCCTCTTTTTAGCAAAATGTAATAATTTAGAGAGGAAAATTTGAGATGTTCATGGATATTTATTAATAAATCAACATGGAATGTTTTCCCTCCATCCTAAGAGACTCAACTGCTCCTAATTTTGGGACTCTTATTTTAAGTCATCTGAAAGTTGTTGTTTCCACAAAATTATATTTAAATGCAATACTGCAGTCTTTAAAACAGATTGTATTTATATATATATATATATATATATACATATACATATACATACACATACATATATATATACATATATATATATATACATATACATACACATATATATATATATATATATATACATACATATATATATATATATATATATATATATACATATATATATATATATATATATATATACATATATATATATATATATATATATATATATATATATATACACATATACATATACATATACATACACATACATATATATACATATATATATATATATATATATACATATACATACACATACATATATATATATATATATATATACATATACATACACATACATATATATATATATATATATATATATATATATATATACATACACATACATATATACATATATATATATATATATACATATACATACACATACATATATACATATATATATATATATATATATATACATACACATACATATATACATATATATATATATATATATATACACATACACATACATATATACATATATATATATATATATATACATACACATACATATATATATATATATATATATATATATACATACACATACATATACATATACATACACATACACATACACATACATATATATATATATATATACACATATACATATACATACACATACACATACATATATATATATATATATACACATATACATATACATACACATACATACATATATATATATATATACATATATATATATATATATATATATATATATACACATATACATATACATACACATACATATACATATATATATACATATACATACACATACATATACATATATATATATACATATATATATATATATATATATATATAAAAGTTTAATTCAGGCATCACAAAAGGACAACTATTTTAATTTAGCCCTGAGTTTTGTAGTTAACAACTGGAGACATTTTTGACAATGTTTTAACCAAAATAATCAGTGCTGAAAGTAACAATAGATAGTTTTTTATCTTTAAGCACTAGAGCTTTAAAATCTTTGTTACGTTTGGACTGTGTTGGTTATCCAATTTCATTATCTTTGATTTTGTGTGATAAGGGATTGTTGTTGCGCTGCATTCGTCAAAGTAACCGCGATTAGAAATGTTTGTTTTTATTTTTAATGTTTGTTTTTTTTATATTTAATGTTAGAAATGTTTTATTTTTAATGTAAACATTTTTTTATGTTAGAAATTTTTCTTTTTATATTTAAAGTAAAAAAAATTTGTATTTATTTTTTATGTTTGTTTTTTATATTTAATATTAGAAATGTTTTTTTTATATTTAAAGTAAAAAATGTTTGTTTTATTTTTAATATTAGAAATATTTGTTTTTATCTTTAAAGTTTGTTTTATTTTTAATGTTAGAAATGTTTGTTTTTATTTTTAATGTTTGTTTTTTATATTTAATGTTAGAAATGTTTTATTTTTAATGTAAAATTGTTTTTTTATGTTAGAAATTTTTCTTTTTATATTTAAAGTAAAAAAAATTTTGTATTTATTTTTTATGTTTGTTTTTTATATTTAATATTAGAAATGTTTGTTTTTATATTTAAAGTAAAAAATGTTTGTTTTATTTTTTATATTAGAAATGTTTGTTTTTATCTTTAAAGTTTGTTTTATTTTTAATGTTAGAAATGTTTGTTTTTATTGTCGGGTGGAAGAAAATCCACGATATTCAGCTCTCATGGGTCGTCTATGTGTGTGCCCATTGGAGCTCATTACTCTGCTGCAGAATGATTCCACCTGGTTTCATCATCATCATCATCATCATCATCATCATCATCATCATCATCATCATCATCCAAGGTGAACATTAAAAAACAAAGAAAAACACAAAAAAATAAACCACAAAAGCAATACAAAAATTATAAAAGTCATGCATACCAGTGTCTCAACATGGATGACTGGAAACACACTGCACTAAAACTGGGATCAGCATCCGGACAAGACTGTTCTCAGAGCTCTTCAACCGCAGGATAAACTTGTACATAAAATTTCTCATTATAGCTTGGGCATTACAAAATAAAAGACGCGCTACAGGGCCGAGGCTTCCCTAACAGAGTCCTAAATGCATCATTATACGCTACTTTAAGTTTGTGCAAGCTGGCTTTCTTATACGTACACCACAAAAGGTGCAGTTTCCACGTTTACAGCAAATGGTGCTTTGATGAAACACACGAGTACCAGAATATCTCTCTAAATCGGTGGTCCTTGCTCTTTTAAAGGACGCTGTGTGAGATGGAAATAGTATAATGCTCCATCACTGGCATTATTTTGTATCTAACACTCTGTTAGCTTCCCAAGAACAGATGGTTATGTTCATTTCTGAGCCTGTGGACTTCCATTCATCAGTCACTACTGGGAGAAGCCGAGGAGAAAGGATCAAATTAAACAGAGGACATGCAGGGAAATGAACAGAGGGACAAAGATGGACAAAGAGCAATGACGTCAGAAGTGTGATCCAGAGAGCGGGGCAGAGCTGGAAACGTTCCTTTATGGAATGGCCCCAAATCACTCTGAGGGGAGGGCTCACATCTACCGATGGTCCTGCCCTTTCATGTAAAGTATCTTAATTAATGTAACTTAAACAAGATCCAAAAGGGTTTCAGCAGATAGGTTAGGAAAAAATTTGTTTGAGTTACCTTTTGTAAATGAGCAGGTCGTCCTCAGTGGGACACTCGGCAAGACGGAGACCATAGGGTTCCCTAGCTGTCTGCTGGAACTGGATCTCCTGAAGAGCAGAGGAAAAGGGTATGGCCTTAAAGAAATTAGTAGAAAAAGGCTAGAACACCAATGAGCCACATCAAGGTAAGATTGTTTAATCATTAAAAAACTTTAACTCAACATGATATGTTGATGTAGGGCTGGGCGATATGACGATTTTAGACCGTTTTACGATCTACACATCTGACGGTCTGTCATTTTTGAGAGAACTTTTTATCACGATTCACAGCTCTGCTGTTGAATTTCTGCCTCTGAATGAAAAGGGAACTTACCTCAGGCGAATGACACGCCTTTGTTTGACCCTTAACCAATCAGAGTGAGTCACAGTAATATATTAGTGCCCCGCTTGTTTTCACCTGTGTGTGAACAAACATGGCTTCGGCCGCGGCTGAGAGCGACAACGAGGTTTTCGTTCCGAAGAGGAACGCCTCGTCCATTATATGGAACTGGTTTGGTTTTTCACCAGATGACAAAGAGCAGCGAAACGTCATTTGCAAAGTTTGCAAGGAGAGAGTCAAGGCAAGTGATGGCAACACCACAAACTTGTTAACTCACTTGAAAAGAAGGCATCCCAAACAATACAATGAGAGCCAGCTGGCAGCTAAAGCTAAAAAGCCTGCGGCTGCAGCGGCTAGTGCTTCTTCCAGGCAGCAAACGCTAACAGAAACACAAAACTCACTCCCTACGACAGAGACAGCAGACGATGGAACAGCGTGACAGATGCAGTGACGTACCACTTGGTTAAAGATTTGTGTCCCGTGCGAACAGTAGGAGTGGGATTTAAGAACATGATAAAAACATTGGATCCGCGCTACGAGTTTTCCAGCCGCAAGTGTTTTTCGAACACCGCCATTCCACGCATGTAAGCTGAATGCAAAGTGAGAGTTGCAGAAAATATTCAGAATGCGCAGTTATTTGCTACCACAAGCGATCTCTGGTTCAGCCGCACATCAGAGCCGTATTTGAGCTTAACTATCCACTACATGAGCAACTGGGAGCTACATAGTATTTTGAACAAGTTAATGTTTGCACAATACGTTTGCAATTGACATGTTTGCACTTTAAATATGTTTACGATTTTAATTTATGTTAAGTTACTTGAAAAACGAGAAAAACTGATTTTTGTAATTGTTTCTCTCAGGGCTTTTATCATCTCTGGTGTGAGTTTCACTGTGTTGATTATCCCTAATATGAATAAATGTTTATTTATTCAATGTTTCTCTTCTTTAATACGCAATTGAAGTTATGCTATTCATGGAAAAAAAATCGTGAGAAAATCGAAATCGTGAGAAAATATTGGAAAAATCGTGATATTCTATTTTTGCCATATCGCCCAGCCCTATGTTGATGTGGAGCTGATTTCATAAAAGCCTCAGTTTACTGCACAATGCACAAACACAATGCCTGGCCAAAACAAGTTAGCCACCAAAAAATGGTCACACACTAATATTGCGTTGACCTTTAGCTTTGATTGTGGCACACGTTTGCTGTGGCGTTGTTTCGATAAGCTTCTGCTATGTCACAAGATTTATTTCCATCCAGTGTTGCATTAATGTTTCACCAAGATCTTGCATTGATGATGGTAGAGTCTGACCGCTGCACAAAGCCTTCTCCAGCACATCCCAAAGACTCTCTATGGGGTTATGGTCTGGACTCTGTGGTGGCCAATCCATGATGAAAATGATGTCTCATGCTCCCTGAACCACTGTTATTATTTCAGCCCGACCAATCCTGTCATTGTTATCTTGGAATATGCCTGTATCATTAGGGACGATGGAATAACCTGCTCATTCAGAATATTCAGGCAGTCAGCTGACCTCATTCTTGGAGCACATCCTGTTGCTGAACCTAGACCTGACCAACTGCAGCAACCCCAGATCATAGCACTGCCCCCACAGGCTTGTACAGTGGGGACAAGGCATGATGGGTACATCACTTCATCTGCCTCTCTTCTTACCCCGATGCACCATCTCTCTGCAACAGGGTCCATCTGGACTCATCAGACCACTTTTTAATAATGCATTCTTAACCAAAGTTTAGTCATTTCTGCAATCTCCTTGGATGTTTCTCTGCTTGATGCATGCCAATGATCTGACTCTTGTCAAACTCACTAACATCTTTTCAATGACTACGAGAGGTGCCTTTCCACATGGTTGTTTAAGAAATGTGAAGTAACTCATTGCACCAGTTGGTGTTAAATAACGTGTTGCCAGCTGAAAGATAATCATCTCATGCAGTTATTATCCAATAGGAAGCTTGTATCTATTTGCTTGGTTACAGATGTGGAGAAAATTGTTGATACCCTTTGGTCAATGAAAGAAAAACCCACATTGGTCACAGAAATAACTTGAATCTCACAAGTAGCAAGTAACAAATAGTAATAAATAAAAATTATATAAAATTTACCCGATGAAAGTCAGACATTGCTTTTCAACCATGCCTCAACGGAATAAATAAATAAATAAACCCATGGAACAAGCCTATGTAAAAATGATGGTACACCTAACTTACTTTGTTGCACAACTTTTTGAGGCAATCACTGAAATACAATGGTTTCCGTGACCGTCAACGAGACTTCTGCACCCCTCAACAAGTATTTTGGCCCACTCCTAATCAGCAAACTGCTCCAGTTGTCTCAGGTTTGAAGGGAGCCTTTCCCAGATGGCATGTTTCAGCTCCTTTCAAAGATGCTCAATATTGAGGTCAGACTGAGGTCACAGAAGGCCACTTTAGAATAGTCCAATGTTTTCCTCTTAGCCACACTAGGGTGTTTTTAGCTGCGTGTTTTGGGCCATTGTCCTGTTGTAAGATTCATGACCTGAAACTGAGACCAAGCTTTCTGACACTGGCCAGCACACTTCTCTGGTGGTGCGATCTGACACTGATGTTCCTTGAGCATGACGTTTACCTTGGACCTCTTTAGACGTTTTTCTGGACTCTTTTGCTACCATTCGGATAATCCATCTCTTTGATTTGTCATCAATTTTCCTTCTGTGGCCACACCCAGAGAGGTTGGCTACAGTCCCATGGATCTTGATTCTGAATAATTAGGGATGGACAATATATCGGCATCAATATCGGTATCGGCCAATGTTAGTCATTTTTAACATAACAGTATCGGTTCGATAAATATAACCGGGCCGATATTAAACAATATTTTTTCTGTCTTGTCTCAATTTGTTTGCCTGTTTCAGAGGGTGAGGGGGTGATGTGTATTTGTTTAGTCATGTGAACAGTGATTGAAATCATCTCAGAATTGTAAATGAATGTGTTGTGTGTGTACATAATAACGTAAAATCTACTTTAATAATTTTCATTCTATACAAAATCTGCTGATTTTAGAAGCATTAATGTCAGTATATCGGTATCAGCAAATATCAGTTATCGGCCATAACAGTGACCTTAATATCGGTATCGGCCCAAACAATTCATATCTGTGCATCACTATGAATACTATGTGCAACTGTAGTCACAGAAGCACCTAACTGTTTGGAGATGGTCCTATAGCCTTTACCTTTAACATGCTTGTCTAGAATTTTCTTTCTAATCTCCTGAGACAACTCTTTCCTTTGCTTCCTCTAGTTCATGTCGAGTGTGGTATACACCATGTCACCAAACAACACAGTGACTACCTGAAGCCCTCTATATATATGCTCACTGACTGATTAAAAGTTTGTAGTCACCTGTGATGCTAATTAGTGGCCATACCTTGAATTAACACGTCCCATTGGTCACACTATTTTCAGCCTGGAGTACCATCATTATTGTCCAGGCCTGTTCCATGAGTTTAATTTGGTAAATAACTCAGTTGAAGCATGGTTGAAAATCAATGTCTGATTTTCAATGGTTAAATTTCATAGAATTTTTTTAATTATATTTTTCATCAGATTCGTTATTTCTGTGACCATTGTGTTTTTTTTTCATTGAATGAAGGGTACCAACAATTTTGTCCACATCAATAAACCCAAAAGGTGTAGCAGTATAGTTACCAGATATCTTTGCATACTTACTTATGTGCTTGTAAATTTGGAACATCTAACAGCTGAGATTTGGGTTCAGATTCTGTGCAAACTGATTTTAATTCCCACCCAGATTACTGCTTGTTAAAGTATGCAAAGATAGCTATTTTATTTCTTCGAAACAGCTAAGTCTAAATATGTTGATGGCACTCATTTTCAAAGCCATTTGATTCCTGGAGATCCATGGAGGACCTCTACATCGGGTTTTGTGACCCACAGTGAGGCCCCAACCCCAACTTTGGGAACCAGTGGGTTGTTCTGGTGTATGTTGATGACAACCACAGATTTCCAGTGACACTGGTCTGAATGTTATTTTCATAAATTAGATGGTACTAAAACACTTACGTAGATAATGATGCTTTGCACGTTGATGCAGATTGTCTGCCAACCAACTACCTTTTGACAAAGTTTACGTGAACTGACGTACAAAACAGCTTCTTTGCTTTCTTTTGCACATTTAAATAAACTTTTACACTTGTGTTTTACAAAGAGGATAATGTAAAGACAGAGAGAACCTTGTTACATAACAGCACATGTGGAAGTGTTAGAAGCAGCTAACTGATTTAGTTACCAGTTTCGTGACTCTGCAACAATGTACTCAGCATAATGTTGGAGGGAAGAATGAATAGAAATGGTAGCCACACACACACACACACACACACACACACACACACACACACACACACACACACACACACACATCACATCACATCAAAAAGAGGCACATCCATAACAGATCCATGTAAGCACACACACAGTTGGACGTCCTTGATGATTTGGAACACAGAGTGTGTGTAATTTTACAGCAAGTGCAGTAATAATCTGAAGTTTAAATATTTCAGCAGTTGTGTGTTATGCTGGCGCCAAATCATTTCTCAGGGACAAGCCCGAGGCAGCAACACGGGATGTGTGAGCCTGACACGTGAGTTGGATGTCCAGCCTGAAATACATATATTCATGACTGAGTCACTGCTCAAGGCCCTGACGA